TCAATCACATTACAGCAAGAAAAAAAAACAGTTAATTGCATTAAAGAACTGCGAGCAGAATCAGTATCCCATGATCTTCTGACTTCCACTGACTCTGACAGACAGTTTTTATTATTTTTTCGCTGCTAAATAGTGCTGGGTGATCCATCACCTACAGTGCACTGGTGTTCACACAGAAACACTGATCGTCAGCTTTTGCAGTGTTGATAGTTTAACAAGATAACAGAGATTATATCTATGACAACATTCTATTTCATAAAATAGTGATGTGCCTGTTATTAAGTCACCTGATAACTGGCCATAATACAGTCGTATGCAAAAGTTTGGGCGCCCCGGTCAAATCATGCTTTGTTGCTTTTCTAAATGAAAGTAAGTTACACATCCTCTACAGAGCACACAGTTCTGCACATTTTAATGCACAATTAATGTTTGTTTGCTGAATTTAACAGACTGGAGTGCATTAACATAAGTAAAGTCAAAATGTTATGGCACATTTTGTATTTTATGTTTCTCATTTTTTGTTAAACTCTGCAAATAGATAGAAATTGAGCAGCAAAATCTGAAGGAAAAACACCATATTTAGTGTGTTCTCTGTAGAGGATGTGTAGCTTGTTTTCATTTAGTAAATCAACATAACTTCCATTTTGACCAGGGAGTGTTTAATTATTTATGTATTTATTTTTTAATCTTTTAACATCCTCTACACAACACAGCTAAATGTGCAAAAAGGACTCTCAGAGCAAGCCTCCTGTCAAGTAGTCTGAAGGACTTTTTAAACTCAGTTTTGTGCACTTTACGCCTGATAACTAGCCATAAAACTGTCGTGTGCAAAAGTCTGAGCACCTCTGGTCAAATGACGAGTTAATTTTCTAAGTGAAAATAAGTTACACATCCTCTACAGAGAACACACTTCTGCACATTTAATGCACAATTACTGTTTATTTGCTGAATTTAACATGATGGAGAAATAAGTAAAACATTAAATGTGGCCTGTGCAAAAGTTCTGGCACTTTTCTTACATATATTTTTTCCAATATGTTAAACTCAACAAATAAATAGAAATTGTGTAGTAAAATTTAAACATATAATTTGGCCAGGGTGTTCAAACTTTGGCATATGACTGTATATGTATTTTGCATACTGTTTTGAAAGAATAGTTCTAAATACATGAAAATGAAATAAATAGTAAGTTCCCTTTCTGGAAAGTGCATGTAATCTGTGGAGTTAACATTTACAACACTGTGTGAGGTTCCTATCAGGAAAAAGAGAAGAAAACAGAACAAAATGGCTCAATCAAGTCACGCTGTCAGGTTTGTAGGATATATAGCAGTGCTTAGAAAGCCTGGGTTCATTGCAGTGGTTTGTGTAGACATTGTGAGCTCTGGTTCCCATCTCTGTAAGGAAATCAGACTTTGTATGTTTCTCTACAGTGAACCGTTTCACATCAAACTACTCTCTATGATTTGTTTACATCTCAACTATTTAAAAAAAAAAACAGTGATATTCCCATTTAACTTTTTTATTAATGTTAACTTAAATATCATTGAATTTTATTATATATTTGGAAAATATGATATTGAATTTTACCATCATAGTATAACGTAAGCTGACATCATTCTGAAGACAGACAACACTCACACAGCTGACTTTGAATCCGTTTTTTTAATCACATTCTTGAGATTATTTACATACGACTATATATTCGTAATATGTTCTTCCGTTCTGACACACAATTCGGACAGGCATATAAGGCAATCATATGTATGTGGTGTCGATCTACCAGGAGAGAAAACAACGTTATAAATACTACATTCAAATGCGCAAGGCATCACACTGACGCTGAAAATAACCTCTTGTTTTTCTGGATAACATTCATAATGAACAGAAGAAAAGAGCCAATTAGAAAAGCCCATGTCAAGCCACCGTGTTACTTGAAGAGGTTAGGCTGCTTAAATAGTTCATAATACAATTCAGAATACATCAGTAGAAACACTCATTTTAGACATCAAGACATCAAGCACCTCACAGAATAAAAACAGCTGCGGTTTTAGACCTGCAAGACCCTCAATGCTGAAGATGTGAAGAGAGGTCATTCCGAATAGAACAAATCTACTAATAAGTCTACTAACTTGTGTTCTTACTAACCTCATTTCTAACTGAAGTGGCTGTAAAGAGCAATATGTGACCACCAAATCACTTTTGCTGTCCTTTTTTGTTTAGAAAAATCATAAAAATTACTGATAATTTCTTCAAAAGATCAAGAGTTTATGACGTTTGAACAACTTTTACTCAGTCCAGCTCAACGCAGGTGTCAATGTGCTCTAGTGCTTAGTTGTATCACTCCAAAAAATGTGCAAATACAAATAAAACAGTCTAAAACAAGACTACACATGCAAAGCCTTGTGTTTAGGTACATTCAGCTTCCAATAAATGCTTAATGAAAAAAATAGAAAAAATTAGAAAACAAAATATGCATCATAAAAAGTGGATACTTTATTACCATAATTACCATAATCTTAAAGATGAAATTGCTTTCTTTCTCGTTTGGGTTATGATGTACTCATCCATGTGGAAACCTTATTGATTGTCATTTTGAAAACGGCCTTGTCTCTTTGGCCGTTTAGCTTTGTAAAATATCAGGAAAGAAGGAGCTGAGAGGAGATCGTGTGCGTGCTATTCTGTGGCATTTATAAGTGGCAAGTTTGGCAGCAACATGGGGAGTATCCTGTACATCTCCCAGCCCCCTAATAGCTAAACTACTGCCCTGGTCCGCACCCCTCTGGTGATTACGTATTCAGTTGGTAAATCAAGTTGAAGTGAAAGTTGAGCAAAATATTACATTCACACTATTTTCTCCTTAATACAAATGTGGCTAATCGGCCAAGACAGGCTAATGAGAGGCTAATGTAGCTAACAAGGAATGAAAGTTTACAGCTCACCAGTTAGCACTGTGCAAACTATATGCCTAAATTATCTTACACTTTAAACCACATTAAGTACAACCATTATCAATAAAAATAGAAAAGTAATTACAGACAAGATTCAGACTTCCAAAATGGCTACTTCTACTGTTGTAGCTATGTGATGAGTTATTTATTTTTACAGACAGTGTTGGGGTTAAAACGGCACAAAGCAATGCTTTACAGTAAAACATTACTTAAACTCTGCTATATAACATTAACATGCCATCGCAGATGTCAATGCTGTCATGAGTTCTAATGCCAGATTATGTCCCGTAATATAGTGTTTTAGTTATAATGTTATCATTACTGTTAATTACTGCAACATATGTCATAATGTTTGATGTCATGACGGCTAACTAGAGTACAATTAATATAAATTAGCATGTGATACAAGCTTGATGTCTTGATAAGACTTGATAAGTCTTGATGTCAAACATTTTGGTGTTTCTCATGACAATTACAGGTGATGGTAACATCGCTGTTTTATTACTGAACAAAATCTGTTCTATTCATGACAGCACATGACATGTTTATGGTATTGTTATGTCAATATTACGTAGCAGGTTTCAACTGACTTAATTTACTAATATGTCTCTAGGAGAAATGCATTAATTACACTCAACACATTTAAAACATACATTTTCTCGGTATATATTATCTGTGCCTGTACGTGTTGCTACCTGACAGCTGACTGCATAGCTTTGTGAATGTGAGCAGTGCAGCACAAGCACTAAGGGTCTAATCACAGTCATATATCAACTAATGGATACAGATCCCATCAGATGGGATAAGGTCTATCAATTCCCAACCTCAGCTAAACTACACTATAATTCAGAAACAGCTCTGTAGTTTCTTTACATTTTATTTAAAAAGGTTCTGTTTTGAGCATTAGCAGTTCATACCTTTCATGAAGTATAAGTGTGTTAACAGTAAAAGCAGGAATAGTGACATGACTTTTATATGTTTACTGTGATTGGCTTTTCTTTATTAGTATTTCTAAATAAAGAACTGAAAGGACAACTGGGTTTTCTCTTGTACTTTCCACTTGTCTAGATTTTTTGTCTAGGTTTCAACACAGCAGTAAAGTAATGAGTAGTGAGATTACATTTTCCAGGAAGAAAGGGGTAAAGTAATCCTATTATAGTTTGAGAAAAGTAATCTGCGATGGATTACTTTTATTTGAGTAACAACACTCTTAAAAAAGATGGTTCTTCAAAGGTTCTTTAGTAAAGAAAATGGTATATAGAACCATGAATAATCAAAGAAGGCTTTGCATGATTAAATAGTTCTTTGCATCGTGAAAGCGTTCTTCAGAATAATGGAGAATGTGCTGTAGATAGTTCTATATAGCACCTTTTGAAAATGTCAAACTTATCACAATAGACTAGCAGAATTTACTAAAGAACCCTTGAAAAAGCATGTATTTAATAGGGTACCCCAACACTGTTTATAGATATGTCACACAGTGTTAGAAACCAGTGAGTCTATTTGAGATTACTTGGCAATTCATTAAGGTCTAAAGCAATTGTGTGACGATTTATGCTAACTGGTGTACACTCCTAAAACAGATGGTTCTCCATCAATTTGAAGAACTCTTTCATGACGCAAAAAAACCTTTAAGCGTGCAAAGGATTCTTGGAGTATTTTTACTAAAGAACACTTTAAGAACCATCTTTTTTAAGAGTGTATGTAAGTTTTAATTACTTGTTAGTTACATTAGCCTCAAGACTCATGACGCTAACATGTCTCAAAACACAAAGCAAATATGTCTTGGTTGATTGACTACATTTGTCTGAGGAGAACATTGTGTAAATTAGATTTCTGGCCAACCGTCACTTTTATATGAAACATACTGAACTCCAAATACATTGTCGTTCCCACACTTTTTCACAATTGCACAAGATGCCTTCTTCCTCTACAGATTTGCAGATTATTGCAATGTGATTCAGTGAATTTACAAAAAAAAAACAATGGAATACCATCTTTAGTCTGGACCTTTCCCAGTTCCTCCAACCATTTCCGTCCCGCACTCCTGCTCAATTGCAGGGAGGACCAGGTGCCCTCGAGAAGAGTCGCATCAGTGGTGTCCCAGCAGTTTGGAGAAAAAGCCTGGTTGTTTGGTGCCTTTGGGCTGGGCCTCACCACTGGCCTTCTCCAGGCCCAGCTCCCCTTCCAGCTGCTCCAGCTCAGACTGGTCTAGCAGCTCAAAGTCCTCTGCCTCGCTGTCTGTGTCCTCGGCCAAAGCCTGGGCCAGTACTGGTGCCCCAACTGCCTGTAGACGCTCCTGCATGGCTGTGGTGACTGCTGCTGTAATCACATCTCCAGCCATCCTCTGAATCAGTCCCAGAGCCTGTGCTGCTGCCTCCCCCTCCACACGCTCTCCTCGTGTGGGCAGACCTATGCTCAGGTCATCATCATCATCGCCGTTAGTCCCCAGACCGTTATCCAGGGAGGGAAAGTCAGGGAGCCCACCGGAGAAGACTTCCTCTTCACTGCGTCGGTCTAAGTCTGGTAGCACCAGAGAGAAGGGAGGGGTCAATACATGCAAAATAACGCAAAAATAATAATAAAGGCCTCCTGACTGACTCTGAGGGACGTCAGATCTTTCAAATGTTAGTATTAATTACTCAAATCATATTGCCCTTTTGTCAATGTTATTAACTGTTATTCTCAAAGTAATAAAAGTGTCTAATTTCTAAGATTTCTAATACAGTGTTGTGGCTGTACAGATGTGATGTGTCTGTATTTAAATTTCTGTCTTTTGGAAAACGTGGAGTATCTGGCACTTCAAGAAATACAGCTTGGTCCAAGAACTTCTTATTTGGTATATATGTTAAGTGAAAAGTGTTCTTTCCAATGCTATAAAATGTTTTGTGGTAGTCATGAGCAATGTGCAATTAAATTTTCATTTTTAATGGTTCATGAATCTGAATCCTTTGCTACCATAATACAAATACAAATACAAATCGGTTCCAAAAGTCTACGGTAATATGGATAATGTATACCAAAGTTTGAAAGATTTGTTATACTTCAGTGTGAAAATACAGAGAAATTGCTCTGATACATAAATCATGCACTGGTAAGTTATCATAAACCAAAGAATAATGCTCAAAAAATGTTTTAAATCTAGCACAAAAAGTTGCAAAGTAATGATTAATCAATGCTTGCACCTTTGTCCATTGCACTTATTTGTCATACATGAACAATATATACTTATTTATATGCATTATGTATGTAATGTGGTTTTTGTTTTTAAAGGATCATAAATTAGAATTTTTATGACTTTAAGACAAATACCTATTGTATCAAGGTGAGCTGTAACATAGTTAATAAATACCAAAGTTTGAAAGATCAGATGAACTTCAGTGAACAGACATAGAGGGCCAATTTGACTCCAGTGCACAAAAAAACGATTGTCAGAAAAATGTATTGTTTTAGAGGTTATTCACCTTAAACTAAAGAATAAAGCCTGGAAATCTAAATTAACTTATTTTAAGGCCACATCCATTTTTAAAGCATCTATGTCTCAGAAACTAATGAAAAAACAGTCTAACATTTTGTTAGACTACAAAATCATCTACTGTAGTACTGAAAGTATTAAGAAAATATGAGATGGTAAGTTGGTAAGTTTCTTAACCCCTCAAAATCCCAGGCTTATTACATACTGAGGCTTATTATTCAGTAACTACACGGACTTCAGTGCAAACTCGTTGGGCTTATGTTATAGAAGTTTGTAATAAAACTTTGGGACCTGGCCATTAAAAAAATCCAATGACTTTGAGGTGAATTTAACCAGAGAGAAGCAGGATGGAGCTCTGGTACAGCTCAATTCTAACAACCCTTCTTGTTGTCATGGAGTGATTTCACTGGATATCTCAACACTGTAGCAGACAGAAGGACACAAGCTCACCCTCTGAGTTCTCTGTCTGAGGTGTGTGTCCTTCCGACAAGTTAAAGGTGCCGTTATCTGTCCACGTTACTTCAGAGACTTCAGTGTCTGATACAGACAGCTCCCTACATGCTGTGGAGTCCAACTGAAACACAGAATCAGTTTCACTTACCCTCTTACCTCACACTGAAAGCGAACATTTGCATTGGCTGTACTGCAGCAAGAGAGCAGAAAGTGAAATGTTCACTCACCTTAGGGAACAGTGAGGAAAGATCAGCTTCAATGCTCTCTTTCTCAGTCTGTGCCTTCAGCAATCTCTTCTCTGGAGAAAAGAAAAGGAGACAGGACTCAAGTTCAAGTTTATTTATTATAAGCCCTGAGGGCAATCAGTTTGCAGCAGAAACAGAAAGTAAGAAGACAGGTAGGCTACTAATTAAAATAAAATAAAACAAAAACAAACAAACACAAAAAATGTCTTCAATGTCTTCCTCCTTCATGCTATCAGAAACTGAAATGAATTTAGATAAATATATTTTAGATAAACGTATTGTATTGTTTTTACATGTACGTGTAAAAACACAGTTTTTCAGTACTAAAGTGCTTTTAAAAAAGGCTACATGTTTCACTTTACATGGACAAATAGATTTCTTTTTGTTTACTAAGGTTAAAGTTAGGGTTAAACAATTTTATGAAATCATCTACAGCACAGATCATAATAGAAAATGTCTTATTTTTATAGCTTCCTACAAACTGTTTGCAAGCTGTAGAATATTAACATCATATTAGAAACATTTTATAAAAGTATCTGAAATAAAATTGGTTATTATAATATTATTGAAAACAGTGAACTTTTTAACAGTCTGGCATATATATTGTATAAGATGTATGGGCCTCAGATTTTTGGATCCCACTGTATGACCAAAATCCTGACAACGTACAGTCGCATGCAAAAATTAGAACACTCCTGGTCAAATTACATGTTGTACAGATTTTCTAAATGAAAATTAGTTAACACTGTTGAGGATACGTGCTTAGTTTCACTTAAAAAAATCAAGTAAATGATTGACCAGGGATGTTCAAATTTTTACATATGACTACATAAAAGTGTGTATTGTGTATTGGTGTTTAAAGAGGATAAATTACAGTACCATGGTTCTCCTTGATCTTCTGAAGGAATTCTCCCACTCCAAAATCCAGTTTCTGCAGAACTGGATCCAACCACATCCCAAAATCATGTGACGACACAAGAGGCCACAGGAAAATGCCTAGCACTGGAGTGAACAGATGGACAGAGCATTAACACACACATGTCATGGGTCTGCCAGCATGTTTCACAACCTGCTGACTGCAAGGAACTGGAGAAGGCAGAGAATGAGTGAGAATGCCGTCATGATTACACTACTGGGAATGTGCTATCACATGTCAGGCCTTTTGGTGTTCACTGTGATATTGAGAATGATGCAGGATGGAAACCCAGGTTAGAAAAGTCTCTCTTAGCCAATAACAACGGTAATCATCTCATAACATTCTAATAGATGAATAAACAGGTTGAAACTTCACATAATTTGGAGAGAAATCAGTCAGACCTAGCATACTTACCTATAATGTATGAAATAACAATTCCTGGAATGTAACGCCCCAGCACTGCCAGGAAAGAACATAAGCTGCATACCAGCAGACAGAACTGCAACCAGAAACAAACACAGACTTCAAATACAACTGCACAAAACAGAGACTCAGTAAGTTCAGCTTAAGTCCAGTGGCTGTACAGTACCTTGCCTGGATTCTGTTGTTTGAAAGACGAGGTCTCTGCGAGAAACAGCTTGAAGCTCATCCAGGAGTCTGTGAACTGAGCTTCTTCTCCAGACCTGCCCTCCTGGCCTGAGTCAACCATCTCCCAGCTACGGACAGATAAAGAACCCATGAGTTAATCTTCTTATCACTGAAATCAGAGTAACACTCATCAATGTTAAGCCTGAGTCAAAAACACTGACATGGCACTTAGCACAAGCCTAGCACTGGCCCAGCACTGGCCAAGTGCATACTTAGTGCAGAACATTAGCGTGATGCTAATTCACAACTTCTATTAGTCATCATTAGCGTAATGCTAATTCTTGACTTCTAGTAGCTTCCATTTAGCTGATGCTAATTCACAACCTCTAGGCTCCATTTACAATCTTCTTTTTTAACATCAGCTCATCTACTTCGAATCACTACTTGGCTATGCATCACACCTACACTACACAAATGGCCGCTCACAGCAGAAGAGGACGAGTAGACAGCAAGGAGTCAATTATTCAAACAGAATACACTGGCCTTCGGCAGATTAGCCTCAGGCTATCCACACAAACTTTGCAATGCAAAATGTTTTCTTGAGAAGTCTGAACATAATTTATGAATACTTTTGCTTTGTCTGGCTGTAAATATGGTGTAGATCTGTGCTGTAGTGCCCTTGTTTTTGTTTTTGTTAGTTATGTAGCCTTTAGCATGCTAGCTAGACAGACTGCAGAGTAAAGTAATGAAGTATCAGCAGTTATGTGTAAGAGATGGAGTAGTTACATAAAGCGCTGCAAATCAAATGCTATGGTTTTGAAATGTTAAGCATTTTAAAGTGTTTACTGCTGTGGTTTATGAACAGGGAAATATGTCACGTCACAATTTCTGGGCAAGATCTGCTGCTAAAGTCCACAACTGTGTTTAATCTATCCACCCCAACCTTCACTTGAGCTAATAAAGCCCCTTAAGATCGTGCTTAGGATGTCCCTGAGAGAAAATGACAAGTCCAAGTGGACGAAGGCTTGTTAAAATCAGTATTAAAATGGGTGGCTAGTAGTCACTATTAATGTGATGCTAATTCACAATTTCTCTAATTAAAACTCTGTACGAGAATCACTCAATTTCAACTAACTAAGCTGATGTTTTAGTTATATTTCGTTGTAGTTTGGGCTACTTTACCTTTAGTTTCTTTGCTTGTTTTAGTTCAGCTACTTTTCTCTATATGCTAGCTTAGCTGTAGCTTCCAGAGCAGCTTAGTTAAGTGCATTTTTGGAACAGCATCCAGCTAATACTACTCATTAACATGCCACTTTGAGGAAAGTTACGCACGTGTGAAACTAGGCCAGGATGCACATTTATGGTTTAAACATTTAGTGCTCCACATATAACATGTCTCTCAAACATAACCTTTTCTCAACTATGAGAGGAGGAACTTCCTAAAGCTCCCTTTGAAATGTTTGTGGGAACCGTAAACAGTGTTAGAAGCACCATCCATAATCAGAGTGGATTACTGTCTATCTTCTCCTACACCAGTTGTAAAGAGAAGGTTAGTGAATGGCTGCCACATAAAAAGCAAAAAGTGAAGGTCACTGTGGTCAATAAGGTCATAAAGCCTGAGGTTGAAAGAGGGCACGCTAATGAGCCTCTCCCATTGACCTTGTTTCAGGGCAGTGCTGTGTATAGGCACATGTGTTCAATAAAGTCATGTGTCATGTACCATATGTGCAATGCACCCAGTAGTTAACACTGACTTTGTAGCAGTTGCAGTAGCATACACAAAGGAAACACTCCATGTATACTGTAGACTGATATATTAAAATGTGCGCAATGGAAGGCTGATGCTTTTCCAGCTGTCCTGGAACCTGGAAGTGTGAAATAGTTTACAGTCTCAGCAGCAATCCAGTTACAGCCATGTAGATGAGGATTCTTCTAACTTAGCACAACATTAGCTTAACAGGAAGAAAATGTAAAGAGGTAGAACCGTACCGTTCTAGCAAGGGTTGCATAAAGCATCAAATGTGTAATGTTTTTTTCAAAACTACAACGTGGTAAAGAATTAAATACTGTAATATTTCCATTGTTTATTTAAAAGGCCAATGTCCCACATTTTCTTGTATTTTTTTCTTGTAAGGTCCACTTATGACATTTGTGTGGTTTTGTGTACTAAAAACAGAGTTTATAACTCTTTTATCTCTTAGAATTAAACTGTTTTATTACTGTGCCTTTAAGACTGACATATGAAATGACCTCTGTTCTGATTGGCTACCCTGTACTGTTTCTCAATCAATAACCAGTCCAGGCTGAAATACGCCTTCTCACTTCAACAGGTCCATTGTGTTGGTTTCACATTTTGAAACTTTAACAATATTTACATACAATATCATGATTTTCTATGATACGGGCCCTACGTTTACACTACTATTCTCTTTATAGGCAAATCAAACTGCACACTCCTATTTCACTCAGATGAGACACTTGCAAGGAATTCAAAGGTGCTACTTGTGAAGTTTGTGAAACATCGTCTAGCATGGTTACATCAAAAAGAAACGAAGCACTACCTGAAGTTTACTGTGGAAAGGATATGGTCACAGAGTGAGGTTTAGACATATTTTGCCTCCCTTACTAATGGGGACAGCCAGCAGACAAACACAAGAAAACCTGTTTTATTTCCTCCAATGCAAAGCAGTCAAACCACCAAATTTACCTCCACAAATAGATGAAAAGTGTTTTTCCTCTGTAGCGTCTCTAGAACCTCTTGAGATACTTTAACTGTATTTTTTGGTATCATTTTGGTATCAAAAACTGCAAAACTACACTTGGTAACATGACAAAGCCTAATTCTAGCTCAGAATCAGTTGTTTCAGATCTTCTACTATTCTAGGGTACAACTCTCCTCCAGTCTCCAAAAGTATGTTGACAGTCATATGTGAGGTGTACTGTGGAGTCTTTTATGATGGGATTGTAATGGCAGTGTTAAACACCCTCAGTGATGACAGCTGAGTTCAAGAAACATGCTTCCACTGTTACAACTCTAAAGCTTGTCAGCCTTTCTGCTCCAAAACTAAAGATATGAGTAGGTCAAATATGAAGAGACTGTCTCTAAACTGCCTCACTATACCGTACTATACAACTGAGAGCTTCAGTGTGGCATCAAAAGCTTTATTCTAATCACTGAACCCAAGATAGTCTGAATGGTGCTCTAATCACTCAGAAGGATAGGACACGTCCCTCACGTCATACCTTCATACGATGACCCTGGCTTAGCTTTCAATGAATTAGCCCGGCTTTCAGAAGAGGGCATCTTAGGATTCTTTGGCAAAGGATGAGTATCTATTAACAGACGTTCAGTCAAGCAATGCCCTTTATCTGGGTGTTACGCTGTCCTTTTACAGCTGTCTCATCTTCTGCTCACTAGGTTAACATGGTAGCACTCAGAGTGCTAGCAGTACTAGTGCAAACAAGCCTACAACTTGTAGTAAACCACTGAGGTGAGTGTCTTGGAGACACTTCCACGAAAGGTCACATGCCTGTTACTTATTACATTCTAAGCAAGAGCCACCAAATGAAGAGAGTTTCCTGAGAAACTGATCACATGGAGTGAAACAGCGCATGTGACGATGAGGCAACCTGGCTCACATAGCATTTCACCATTCGGAGGGAGGCTGATACGGTGCTAGATTAGCGTTAGCACCAGAGAACGCGGCTTGCCCAACACAGAGCCAAGCGGGTGGCTGGGCTTCAATGAGTTGTGATCCCCACATGATCCCGTGTGGCTCATAAAAGCGTTAGCAGGGGTCATCTTCTGTGACAAGGAAATGGCAGCTGGAAAAGGCTGGTCATTCCCTGCTACCACATGGTATTCCATACTTAAAAAATATAAAACCCACATATGGTCCACACTGGTGGCTTATAGCAAAACAGGCCAACTATGTCAGTGTGATACACTGCATAACATCACATTAATATCTGTCAAATAAATGACTTCAAGGTCCCGTCTTGCAACTGCCTCTATTATTATAGCTTTCATTGTTCAGTTAGTGATAATATGTGATGGGGAGGCTTGTTAAAATGTGTGAGAAGGCCTGCTGTGTCTTGTTTAATGCCAACAACTGTTGACCCTAGAGACCAAAATCCAGACAGCTGCTTGTTTCGACTCCCATACTAATCTTTAAAGCAACACGTCTGAGAACCTAACAAGCCTAGTGACAGGATCCAGAAATAGCCTGAAAGCAACAGCTGAACAATTTAAGGAATGGTGGTGAAAAAGTTAGCACTTCTGCCTATCTTCCCAACCTGGGAAGAAATTGAGAAACACCAGTGAATCTCTTTCACACGTTCCTCAAACGCTATAGGTGATGCTTTCAAGACGCCAGATAAAGCAAGTACAGACTCTCATGGGTTTCATTGCTGTGTAGTTTCCATGCACGTAGGAACCTTCATAAAGGCCTTGTGACAATACCCCTGAACTCTGATGCCAAGTAAGTGGGGCATTCCATGACAGGCTTGTCATGGAGATAGCACAGTCCACAGGAAACAAAAATAAGTCAAGACTAATACCATCAGACTATCTGAAACACAATACCTTTGCTAAGGATCTAAACATTTACTAAAATATTCACCTAAATTCTGGAACAAAACAAGTAATCAAGACAATATCCACCATCTTCCACTATTGTTGTGTAATTTCCAAAAAACCTAACATAATGCCCATATTTCCCATCTTTCCACCCTTTATTAGCACCGTCCACTTTCCATAGACAACACACATTTTCCATACCCTGATAAGGAGTGTTTTACCTTAACCCTGACCCTTGGTCTTCCGAGGCCATCTCAAAGGCTTTTACCATGTAGAACGTTCTCAGCAAGGCAAGGCTAAGATCTGCTTAGGTTTTGGCCGCAGTATCCGTTGTTCAGTGACCCTCACAGTCCACTCAGCATGCCACACCGAGCCACAGTCTCCAGTGTTTATGTTGACCAAGGCCCCAGCTTCACTATTTCAACCAGTCCGGTCTAAAAATACCAGAGCCACACAGCATTCCACAGGCAGACATCAGATGTGCTGGGGTTGGCGTGGGACACACAAACTGTGCTGGAGTGTGACACATCAGCTGAGTATAGCTTCTTAAACAACTCCCTTTAAACAGGAGGCAGCCTTTGTGAGGCTTTGTGTTATATGCTATCTGTGGAACCTTCAGCGTAGGAACATCTTATCTGCTAAGCTGTCACTGTTATTGTGTTGTGTTTTCAATATAGCATCACTGTCAGACCAGAACCTTGTATCTTTATTGTTTTTTTCTTTTCATTTGAAAACCCTACCCTTTACATTATGTGAACATTTGTAAAGTTATGTTCCAAAATGCTGTATATTTTGGATATAAAAAGGTTTAAAGGATGCCATATAACACAGTTTGTCAAAAAACACACTATTATTTCTCTAATAAAGGTAGCTTTAATCATAATATAGTATGGATCCACTGATCTGACGTACATCTGCCAATGCCGATATACAACCACTTATAAAATGCAGAAATAGGGCCTTCTTATACTTCTTCTGGATTAACACTTCAGACAAATACAACATTTATTTTTATAGTGTTACAAATGCAGTGAAATGAATAAAATCCAAATACTAAGCAGAGAGGCCCAGCATCACCTAAATGTTCTGCTGTTCAAGTTGACATATTGATCAAATCTAAACATTTCACACTCGTTCACTGTCTTGCAACAAGTATAATATGAGCCAGATGTATTTTCATTAGTTGGCTTGAGCCAAATAAATACAAATAAAATTAATCAGTTTTCTATCTCTAATTAACTAGTTCTGATTTTTAACTGTGTGTTGTAAGGCATTTGGGGAAATGTAAATTTTAGCATGTGGGCTTGCAAAACAAGTGTTTTTTGGCTCACATTTTCAGTTTCTGTAAGCTTTGCTCGACTGTGTTACTGACACTTGTTACTTAGAGTACAGCGTATCCCTTGTTAGCCGCAAGATAAAGGGTTAAGCAAAACATATATATATATATATATATTTTGTATGTGTGTATAACAATGACGATTAATTGTTATACACACACACACACACACACACACACATATATATATATATATATATATATATATGTATATATATTTTGTTCCAATGTTTTGCTCACGTGTCAGGACTGTGCAGAAAACTATTCCTAGAAGTTACATGACCTCAGTCTGGCTTTTTCTAGTCTGTTAAGGTGACGCCTGAGGCTCATAAGATTACACAGTCAACTGTTCCTTCAGAGTAAACATGAAGTAAATTGAGTAACACTGTCTAATATAAGGCTGAAGCTAATGCATATCTGCTGTATTGCCTATGATTACCTAATTTATCAATATTTGCCACAACACAGGATTTTGCCATGACATACTGAGTGTATTAAAACACGCCCTCCTTGTTATTTTAATCAAAGTGACATATGCTGGTCATATGACTGTGACGGTAGAGTTATGACTGGAGTGATCATGACCAAGCAGATGTCCTCAATCGCCCACCCCCCACACTAATAGCAGGTTACGTTACATGAGCACACCCTCTGACCATCAGTATGCATGTTTCTGATTGGTGTGATTAGAGGGCTGGTAGTAAATCCTCTCCAGTAAGGGTAGTAAGGAAGTGTGGGTAGCTGCTGCAGGACAGAAACGGCAGTGTCATGGTGAAGACTGGAACACAAACTCAGGTTTCATAACACTGCAGATAAAACTCTGAAACAAACAACACCTGGCCAGCTACACACTCGTAATCTTATGTGCCCCTGGCCCCCGTTTTGTTGATTTTCTAAGTGAACGCAAGTACATATCTTCTACAGAGAACAAACATAAATATGACAGTTCCTGAAAATTCTAGAGCACAATTTCTATTTATTTGCATATATATATATATAACTTATTTTCACTTGCAAAATAAACAAAACTTTATTTGACCAAGGGTGCCCAAACTTTTGCATAAAACTATATGCCCTGAATGGACATTTCAATGAAATACCACACTGTTAAAACTGACTCAATGTTTTAAATTTAAAAAAGTAAGTAACCTGGTTGTCTTAAAATTTTGAGTTCACTGAACTTCAAATATAAGTTAACAGAGTGTAAAACACAGATTATTGTTTTGTTAATTTACTATTACAAGTTCAGAGGACTCAAAATTTTAAGGCAGCAAAGTTACTCTTTTTAATGTTAAAACAGCCAATCATTTTTTACAGTGTACCAGAATCTGACAATTATATTTCAATACAGCACCCTGTTAAAATTACTAAATAGTTTATGTAGTACATAGATTAAAATGTACTTAGTTTTCCATGGTTATATATTAAAATACAGATAAGAGTACATAATTTAGCATCTAAAACTCTTATCATTGTTGTAGTATGAAAATCTGGTAACTCCATTTTAATTTTTAACACCAACTGTTGATGAATGAATGGACCAATAGTAATGGCCCAGATTTAATCAAATCTTTTTACATTTATCTACATTACAGTTAAAGGGAAATTCCACTGATTTTTAAAATACTTTATGTATAATTCAAACGTTGTAATGTAAACATTTATAGTGGTGTGCTTTGAAATATTGCACTATAGAGAAACCTCAGATTTCTCTACATTGCTGTTGATAGGAACCAGGGGTTGTACTGTCTTCCACGCAAATACAGCCGTTTTATTTCCTATTCAGATTGAGCAGTGAACCTGTACTACTCCTTCTGAGTTTTTAAAGTTGTTAAACTAAACCACTGTGAATAATTCTGACTCAGTAGACTGGAGCATTTTAGAGCCACTCTGAATAACTTTTTTTAAATCTTAACAACTGGATAATGTAGACTTTTTGGAATTTTGTGGAATTCCCCTTTAAGGATGTTTTGTCTTTCTTCTTTTAAGTTATCAGTGGCAAACCCTGACTAACAGAACTAGGCCTTCACCTTGCGCCATAAATGTCAAAACACTTTATGATTACGCTAATTTCTAATATTGCTATTATAATGCCCCTATGGGATTCTAGTAGTATGTTAGCGCTAAGCTAACGACAATTCATATGAACATTCTTTTGCCGTTCTAAATTAAAGTTGTTAAGACATTGAATGTTTAATTTTAATCATACAGACATATTAAGATAAATATTTTGCCTTGTAGCAATTTGACAGTGACCCTTTCAGTAAAGAGCCCTGGCATTCAGCTGCCGCTGTTTTCCATTTCTAATGGAACTGACTGAAACGCAGTGGTCAGGTTACCCTTATATTTGCAGTCAGTGATGCATCTAGTGATGTACGTGAGGGTCACATTTCTTCTCACAAAATTGGTCCCCCTTATTGGAAATCAAAACATGATTTGTTTCCACTGTCAGTTCCTTATGAAGTGGTTGATCTGAAACATTATGTCTTCAGTTCAGCTACTTAAGTCCTAACCAATGGGAGAGCTTGCTTGGCTGTATCTACCTAGATACCACGAAGAGAGAAATCCTGCTTGGATAATTTTCCCTTGAGTACTTCAAGAATTTAACTCTTTTTCTCCAACCTAAACTTGACAATGAAATAAGAGAATTACTACAACATTTGAAGAGTTTCAATACAACAAGCATGATGATTATATTAAATAAAAATGTACTAAAAAACAGACTTATTTTATTTCACAGAAATCATTAGGCCATCTGTGAAGGCGTAGAAGGTCCTGAGGGTTCCTCCACTGACAGCTGCCATATCTTAGGTATGAGGTCGTGTTATGCCAGCGATGATAATTAAGTGTTTTCGAGATTACTTAACAACTCAACATGGTTTGAGGCAGTTGTGTGACGATATAAGCTTACAGTTTGCTAAATCATGTCTAGTGGCTAAACTTCTTTTACTTGTTAGCTATATTAGCCTTGTAGCTCAAGTGCAAAACTTAAGAAGCAAACTTCAGACACCAAACATGTCTTGGCTGATGAAGTACATTTGGAATAAGGTGGAAAAATTATGTCAAATTTTTATTAAAATATCCCTGAAATAAACTCACACTTATTACTGTACATGCTACATATAATCTACTTATAATTTATATAAGTTTCTGTAAACTAAGCCTTAATAACAATAGCTTTACTATAAACCTAATATCTGATGTATGTGAGCTCTTACAAAGCCTCGTCACCAGAGTTGACCACTGATTGATACAGTGGCTGCAAAGCAGTATACTCCACTGTCAAAACCACATTCACTGAACATGGGAAAGAGTATGCTGTATGTGAGAATGAGGATATAGGGGTCTCAGGGTCATGGTTTGGGAAAGGGTGAAGACAACTGCTGGAGCATGACCTAGATCAACAGCGGCCTGTGAACATGGGTAGGCTGAAGTAATGCAGCAGCTGCTGGGGGAACTGGGCGGGCTTTAACAAGTCCTGCCCCACATAAACACTGTGTTGAGGATTACAGCGTTGGCACACCCCCAAACCTCCACCCCCCCACTAGAGCACAATGGTGCCATTGGGCTTGTTTTCACCATAAGTACATAAACAATTGCAGCGCAACAGCGGTCACAGCACAGGGCCAGGCAACAAGATCAAAAATAATGGAGAACTGAAGGCCAACCATTAGTAACACTGGATAAAGTCATCAGCCCTTACTGTAATCAAATATCTTAACAAACTTAAGCATCTTCTTGCATGTATGAGTACAAGCTCTTTATAAGCAAATATGGCCATACTAGATGTTTGTATGCTTGTGCTTACGCATGACCAACTAATATGACTGCTATTTTCTGAGTTCGGCTATACTGTTATCATGTAAAAGTGGCCTTGCTGGCAGAACATCCTGTCCTGCTTCTACAGGAACATTACATCTGGCAGCGTAATGCCATCAGTGCACATGATGGACTTTATGGATTGCAGCACGTTATCAATAATGCAGCGAAGGTGCTGAAGCACCCGCTGGTGGTGAGATGTTACATTGCACGTGTTCAGTGTGGCTCCGGGGAGAAAAACAGGTCAAACTAGAAAAGTGATACAATGTAAACCAAAACACATTCTACAGAACTAGATAAGATAAGGAGCTTAAACATACCTGCTGGTCATACTACGCCATAAACTGGCACCTATTGGGGAAAAACAACCAACAAAACATCAGTTCTGAGCCTCTCAAGTCTTTCAATTCCATCTTAATACAATGTGAACAAATTCAATGTATTGCATTCCATCAAGGACCTAATGAATGTGTTACCACTATTCTGCATAAAATCTTATGAAGCTATAATAAACCATGTTTATGTTTGAGTCTACTCCAGTGAGTTGCTTAATTTAAGGAAAAGAACGTGGACTGTCCTGGAATTAAACCTCTTCTTTTATTGTTGTGTTCAATTGTCTTGCCTTTATAAGCCTTTTCGCCTTTTGTTTTTAGGTACATTTCTTTTTTTTTCTTCTCTGTATTTTGTATTTTTGTTTGTGTGTATTGCCTTTTATTTTTCTTTTTTTTTATTTCCTCCATTTTAATCCTGCAGTAAATCATAATAAATCATGCCCTCAAGAAAGTGCAACTTCCTTGAATTATACTTTTTTGTTTATTAATTTTCAGTTCAATTTTATTTTGCTTTATCTGCAATTCATTGCTTTTTTTCCCTTTCCATTTTATTTTGTGTATTTTTATTGTATTGTTTTCTGTGTTTTACTATATTTTATTGTTTTTTTCCCTCTGTATGTTGTATTTTACTATTTTTTTTTGTTTTTAATTCAGTTTTTCGTTCCTCTGTATTTTGTTTATTTTTAAAGCTTGTTTGTAAACTTGTTATGAATAAAGGTGCTATATAAATTAAAAGTATTATTATATTATTATTACATATTGAAATCACACAATCCTTCACTAATTAGATATTATTCTGATATATATCTTGCTTGTAGATTATTCGTCAGGTAACTCTACTGACTATGTCTACTCGTACACTATTGTTCAGAAGTTTAAAAATCACTGTTTTTGATCATATAAAACCAATTTTGTAGCAGATACATGGATAAAACAATTCTATTATGATGCTACTACTCTGCAATTTCACAGGTTTTTGTACAAAGCTCTAAAAATGAAGAAATCAGTATCTTATCAGTATCTTGTCATTTAATAACATCTTTATGGTCCAAAAAAAGTTCAATATTGAATGAAACAATATCTTAAAATACTTTATAATATGTAGCTTTTAGTATTTCAGTCTATACAGTATTAACAAGACAAGTGATTCCAAACTATTGAATGATAATGTATGGCTATGGTGATACACATGATTCATGTGAGTTGCAAAGCTCATTCTAATATTAGATTGATATTTTTCAGTAATGATATGGTGGTTAAGTGCATTAGACAGTGATCCACACCTCTTGACCTGGGAAGCACGACATCCCTCAGCAGCTGTACCAGCATCAAGAGAGCCAGACACAAGCCGAGAAGACAAACCACTCTACAGGGGCTCAGGGACACAAACCTGGATGGGGAAAATAACAACAAAGCTGTTTTCCATTGAATTCAACAGGGAGAAAGCAGCCTCAACTGCAAACCAACATGAGAAGGAAAGCACAGCACTTTCCAAACCACACACATACATTAGGGTCCTAAAATCTGCATCCACTCCTGAAAACGCTTCTATCTGAACGTATTCCGTTGCAAATAATATTATAAGCATAAACATTTCAGTAAGAAGTACAACCTTTTAAATATTTCCATGAATTTCAGAATTTCTTCTGAAATTTGGATTTGTTCCCTCCTTTGTTTCAAAGACAGCATGCATTGAAGTTGGCATAGACTCCACAAGTTTGTACAAAAGCCTCTGATGAGTAGATCAAATCCACCTAAGAGACACCTGAACACGTGCTGCCATGGCAGAGATAAGACTCTGACCTTTTTGTATAAAGGCCATCACATGGTCAATGTAACAAAGTATCTTACATTTGAATACTGACCTAAAAATAGTGCAGAACCTTAAACTTTCTCAAACTTCTGGTTGTTTACTTTCGAGGTTTTAATGTCAAAAAAACTAAATTTCAATGTGGTCTCAGACTTCTGGATGTCATTGAACAGTCAGTAAAAATTCCATCTACGTCAAAACCTCTTGAAGTCTGCCGGGACGCACTTAAAAAAGATGATTCTTTTTGTTTAATAAAGGCAATGGCTCTACTTAGAACCATGAGTGAATGTGTTGTATATGGTTCTGTATAGCACCAAAAAGCGTTCTTCTATAGTTACAAGCTTTACATCGTAACAATAGAAGAACCCTTTTTGGTGCTATATAGAGCCATACACAACACATTTTCCATCAATCTGAAGAACCATTCCACCATGCAAAGAATAATTTAAGCACGAAATGGTTCTATACAGAACTCATGGTTCTAAATAGAACTATTGCCTTTACTAAAGAACCCTTGCAGAACCATCTTTTTAAAGAGTGTAGGAAAAGCAGGAAAGCCTTCGTGTGCACTTGGCTGCTACTGTCCAGCACAGTTGGCTCTCAGCAGAAGGCGGGAGTGCATAATCTCCAGCATTTTAAATCCAGGCCACAGCTTACTTACAAGGAGGAATAACCTGTGAAGGGTATTTATATAATTCCAAAGGGGGGACGCTCTGTTTCTTAACCTAAATCCAGAGTTTGCACAGTCATACTTCCCTTGCATGCCTATTATATGTGCACCAACACAGCCAGTGAACTAGATTTAGCAATATTAAAAAAGTGAGCTGTAAATGCCTTATCTAATCTTTTCAGGTCATGTTCAAGCTCTGTGCTACAGCAGGTGTGATGGCAGGCAAACATGACCTAGAGAAAGGCCTGCTTCTTATACATCAACGCCCCAGCCTGCTTGACCTGTGAGGAATTTCACAAAGCAGGATTTCCCGCTTAGCCAGATAACTTGAGCCTATCAAATAGCAGAAGAAGTAAGGGATGCTTCTGCTGTATAGTGTTGACTTTTGGCTTAACTTGCCCAGCTATACTGAGAAATTAACTACCTACAGCTTTGTGAGACACCTCCCCTGGTTAACAGATAAACTACAGTTGTGCTAAATTAGCGCACAACTCAGCTGACTGGAGCTCAGTGATAAAACGAGGTGTGAGCTGCATGTTGTGCACTCGGGCAAATTAAAGTCGTCTCTCCTACATCAGGAGGAGAAGTGAAAGGAAAACGCTGCGTCATGTCTCTCACCAGAACACGGCGTTGGTGGCTGTGAACAGCGCGGTGGTCCTGAACGGTTTCCTCCAGTCCACCAGCGCTCGGACACCGCCTCCTCCTCCAGCCCGCTGCCCGCTCTCTGCAGCCCCTCGCTCTGTGTCTGAGCTCCGGCTCTCCTGTACAGGCTCCGCCGCTGCTGCCATGGCCAAAGCACCGCGCTCCGCCTCGCCCTCTCCACAGCGCCGGCCGGTGGCTCCTGCTGCTGGAGCTGTCGTTGCTGCTGCTGGTGTTGTTGTTGTTGTGCGGCGACGTCATCCGGTGACTGCCCGCGGTGGCTCCATGGGAACGCCCACGTCATCACGATTCTGACTGTAATGAAGGTAGGAATGAGCTGAGTGGAGGATTTAAGCTCTGAAAAATAAACTAAATGAAAAAATATATGTAAATGTATATGTAAATAACTGTCTGTTTTTGGACTGATGCCATTAGCTATGTTAAGACTCTGTAATCATTGACATCCTGCCTGTTGAATATTTCTATGTATTGTCTATTTTTTTTCTTTTTTACTTTACTTTATAATTCAAATATAATAATAAACTATATTATCAATATTAATACTAATACCAAATTTAAAAAGATAATGTGAAAAAATCAAATATTATTTAAAATATTGTTGTATCATTGCTAATAATAGTATTGCTATAATAACATAATATTTAGTAGTGGAGGGGATACAAGTGCCACAAATAAGCACAGATGATGGCTGGTACAGGCAAACCGTGCTAATGTTGTTCCGTTTAGCTGAATGGCAGAGTCATGCGAAACTGAAGGCAGTCATCTCAATGCCTTGCTGCCTGTGCTGTCTTTTGAAGGCAGTGCTATCCAATCTGTCAGTGCTGGTGTTTTCACAGACACAAAGGATTATGGGATACGTAAGGTAGTGAAGGATCCTTCAAAAATGGTTGAACGTAGTAACTACAGCAGACCGCGTTTTATGCAAACAAATGACTGCATGCTTTCCTGCTTCCTGCTTTATTACATTTAGACACAGACATGGCCGTTTCAGTCACATTTCAAACAGAAATGAGCACACAGCAGACCCTCGATCACCTCCTGCTGCGGTAGTCCATTTTGTTTTCAAGGCAGCAGACATAAAAGATGGGCAGTCTTTTGGGGTTAGCCTTACTCTAACATAGACACTAGAGTGATTGTCTTCTTCTGTTTCCTCTTGTACCGTTTGATAAGCCGCTTGACTTGGTCAGCTGCACCAGACGAGGCCGGGGTCAGGCCCTTGTCCGTGCCACAACGAGCTGTGGACCAGCTTGTACTGAAGCGTGAATGACAAATATTTCTTGTATTCCAGCAGTGTGTGATGGTCGGAGGAATGAGTGGGATGCACAGTTTGAGAAATTACTTGAAAAGTCAACAAAGCTGAAATTGGCTTCTTATTTGAATTTGTTACATTGAAACACCTCTATAGGTGCAAGACTGTAAGTGCTGCTTCATTTAAGGTGGATCAGAAAGTCAGAACAAAAAGCTGACGAATAAGAAGCGAAGTTTTACATTCAGATGTGAAACAACATTTAGCACCATGTTTTTAGAAATATGTACATACACGATGATATACACCAAATCTCTCAGAAATGTGAATTATACCATGATATACATTTTTTACTATACCATAGCATACTACTACTACTAATAATAATAATAATAGTAATAATAATAATAATATGGAGACACATTTAAACATTTGATGAACATAAAGTAAATATAAAAAGATTTTTTTTTTCAAAATTTTGCCTTTAATATTGTCTTTAATTATCCTTAATAACATAAAAACAATTTTCTTGAAGGTATATGTACCACATGATTCTAATACAAAGTTAATACACTTCTAGTGTATTTTTATTCTTTTTTTTTCATTGATTACATTTTTTATTTTGCATTTCATTAAAGGTGTAACAATAAAACAGATTAAAATGTTCAACAATTAAGATGTTCAACTTAAATGAACCAAAAGTGCTGCAGTGGAGCAGGAAGTCATTATGAGTCATAATCTGAAAAACTGTAACCCCTCTTGAATTTATAAAGGAGTACTGAAGCACTACACTCACCATCCACTTCATTAGAAATCCTTACTGCATAGCTCCACTATATCAGTGTATACCGATGGATTATAACCCATCTGTTATCTTTTATCATGCACAATATATCACCCTCTACTCCATTCTTCACTGGTCAGTTTCTGACCACAGACCCATTGTAGATCAGATATAATTTGGGTTTAGGATTATTCGCAACCCAGCAGTGAAGTATTAACCCCTCTGGACATGGCTATGTTTAAGCACATTAAAAGGATAAACTCAGGACCCTTGCAGAAACTTGTTCAACATGTCATTCTCAGAAACCAACTATAAACTACACCAGTGTCCAGAAGTTTTCTGGTAGAAAATGCGGAGTGTCAGCGTTAGCTCCCAAAAAGAACATCAAATCAGAAGAAGAGAGATGTTTTCCCATCCAAATGAGCTTGTAAACCGAGAGACAAAACAGCTGAGAAGATTATGTAACAAACCAAAAATCTCCCAAACAGACACCTGTGATTGGTTAAATCCCCCCTGCTCCTTAAATCTGTGTTCACATGGATTTCCAACCACAGATGGCTGGTTTATTGCTGATAATTGAACTTGGGGTGCAGGAATGTGATTTATTTAGAAGGTTTAAAAACAGGTGAAACCAGGATTTCCCTACTGATGGGATCACAGTATGTCAAGTAAAGGGAACATCTGAGTGGCCCAAAACAGTTTAATCAAATCCAATCCTGTTGGTTAGAAGATTGGCTAACAACAGCAAAATGTATCTTTGTACAGTATTTGCCACATAAAAGCTGTCCTTAGGCCTCACTGGCACATTATATCCACAGGGAGGAACAAGATTTTTCATGTCAAGTTAATTTTTAGATGATCACACACTTAAGCCCCTCATACACACTCAGACTGTCAGTTTCTTATTTACTTACATGTCCACGTTAATTACATACATTGTTGCTGTTGTGAAAAAGGAAACGTATTTGCATAATTCATGAAGGAATGCTGACATTTGATTGGTTCAGTCCTTCAGAGTCTGTGTAGGTGATAAGCTCTTTTGTTATTTTATATGTACATTTGTCATATTTATTATTTTGCCATGCGTTTTTGGATGGAAAATTGACTTATGATGTCAAAATAGTGTATACACCCTGATTGAAATTGCTGGTTGTTGTTATATACAGCCAGATATGAAGATAAATCATGTCAGACATTTCTTCATCAATAATGTGACCTTCCAACCTACAAATTTAAAGAGAAAAAGAAATAGATGATTATTAGGAAAGATTATTTACAATACTCCAATACTCCCTTTTATAAAAACTAATGGTAGAGTATATAGTGCAGTTCAAAGTATACAAATCACTATCAAAATGATGTCCACAGATAAGCAGCATACACCTGCCATCAGCGAAAGTAATTCTGGTTGATCCCCCCCCAAAAAGAAAAAACAGACGTTCCTGTAGCTGCTCCTGATAATTTCACTATTACACCCTTCAAGGATAACAATGGCCAATCAAGAGCTGTCAAACAATCTACAGATGGTTATCTGTAAAAAGGCACTGATCAGGAGAATGATATGAAAGAATATCAGATGCATTTGATAGACCAAAGACAACAGGTGGAAAAATGTGGCACCACAAGCACATTGGAATAATGCTCTGTTCGGGTGTTTATCAGAAGGTTGTACATACCAGATGGCAAACTAGTAAATATGAGTTGAGGTGCTTCTTCACAGATACACCCACAACACATAGAAAAACAGCATGGAGGTCCAGAGAAAACATATTCTGTTTTTTCTTTGCTGTATGAAAAAGCACATAGATCTAATAGAAGTGCATTGGGTTTATATTTTTTCACATTCACTGCAATGTGTAAGGTCACGTTATATCTTGTAAACCCATGTATGATCCAGAATCTTGAGTTTACTAGTTGTAAATAAGACTATGTTGGCTGTTTGTGTGCAATTTACAGGAAGGAAAAATGGTATTTCCAAGTTTCCGACACTAGCGCAGCATAATTGTCAAGTTCAGAAAATCCTCAAAAGTTGATGACAGGACAAACAGAAAACTTATCAGGGGTGCTATCAAGAGGCCTACGGCAACATTAAAAAAGCTGTAGGAATATCTGGCAGGTAATGGCCACTCCTTGGATGTGACATCAACCCTCCATGTTCTAAATCACTCAGTATCAACTGATGCAACAGAGGTTGACATTTTTGGTCTGAATCCTAAAAGATGTTTGTGCAACGACAACACAGCTCAACCAAAGAACATCATACCTAGTGTGAAGCATAGTGGTGGCAACATCATATTTTGGGGCTGCTTCTCTTCAGTTGGGACAGGGGCTTTATTCAAGATAGATGGGATAGTGATTAGATCAAAACATCCAGACAATTTGGCACAAAATCTGCTGGCCTCTGTCAGAAAGCTGAAGATGAAGAGGAATTTCCCCTCCCAATGTGCTAATGAAGTCAACCAAGGAACTGGTTTCAAAAAGGAAGATTAATGTCTTAGAAAAGCCCAGTCAGAATATGTGTACAATGACCCAAATTAGAATTTCACAGAGATTTGAGGGAGCTTGAGCTTTTTTGCAAGGAAGAGTGGGATAAAATTGCTAAGCCCAGGTGAAAAGACTCATTTCCAAAAAATCACTGCTTAAGTAAATGCAAAAAGTACTCATTCATTGCAGGGTTGTGCACACTTATTCCACCAGGGTAATGTAATTTGCCTTTAATTATTTTCCCTAATAATGATCATTAATTTGATCATGTACCTTAATTTCTGGCTTTACATCACAAAAGCCTGCAATTTCAATGAAGGTGAGCAGACTATTTATATCCACTTTATCTGAAAGCCATTTAAGGCTACACTAAACTAGATTGTATGTGCTGAGGGAGGAGGCATGCTTTATATCAGTGTTATATGACTGTAAAGCTGACACAATGGCGCAAACTTCTTCATTCCTGTGATATGAAATCCATTTTTCTTCATTTGCTATTAACATTTTCAAGCCGTTGAATTTGAAAAGTGATCTTTTCTAATGCAATTGGCTTCTTTCCAATAAGATATCCTCATAATTTCACAATGAATTGTCACCTTGATCCTACATTAGTAGTTTAGTCTAAGAAAGTACAGTATAAAAAAGGCTCAGTGATAAAAGCCATTCATCATATATTTCTTCTTTGTCTGCCTCTTGCTAATGTTATCCAGCCTAGTTGCACTAAGATGTGTGAAACTGGATTTTATGAACTCATCCTTCACTTTGCTAACACTCAGATAGCAAAACTTAACTAAAAAACAAAAAGAAAATACATACAGACTATAGAAGCATAGAAAAGGAAGAAGCATTGTTAAAAGCAAATTTTCCTAAAAGGATGACTTGTGCCAGGGGCCACATATGCGAAGGGGAATTTGTGATCATTTTATGCCTACAACCAGGACCTCAAACCATCACACATGGAAGATTCTGAATAATAGCTGTCTTGTAGAGTCAGAGCGGAAGACAGAGGGAGAAAGCCATAACCCATTTTCTCCTGTGCAGTGAGCGGACACTGATGAATTGGCTGAATGTCAAGGGCATTTTCCAATGTGGAATCCAGCTCTACCTACCGAGTTCAAAACCAAAACTGTGATGTTTTTATGCTAGCATTGGACATGCTAACATCCTTCAATTAAAATATTTTTAACTGAAAATATATGTAGTGGGTTCTTTTTTTCTCGGCCCTGCAACAAGTAAATAAAAACCCTTGTACCAGAAAAAGCGGAGTGGAGGCACTAATTGGACTGAATCTGACTGGCAACAAAAAGGCCTGGCTAGAAAATTCCAGCCCTGGTTTCACAGGGCCTGCTTTGTTGTTGCCGCGTTTGTTCTCTAGTGCTGTGTTAACAGTTATCTTTTCTCTGTCTGCCTCTCCCCACCCTTCCACACAGTGCGGGAAAGAGTGCCCAGCACGAATGAGTCCGGCACCATGCAGCCGCTGCTCCCTTTTGCCCTGGCCTGCATGGCACTCTGTCTCTGGACCCTATCTGTGGTGTAGCAGGAATCTCTCAACCATGTTCCTCACTACAACAATCCCCTGCGACAGCACTAAGAGGAGAAAGGCATGATGGGTCAGCTTCCAGAGGAAGTTTTGGATGGCTTTGGGGCCGAAGAGCTGGAGTGTAAGATCTGCTACTGCCCCTACAACCTGTCTGGACGACGACCTAAAGTGCTTGAGTGCTGCCATCGCTTGTGTGCCAAGTGCCTGGCTAAAATCCTCGACCTAGGTGAGTCACCTCCCAACGCAGTAGTCTGTCCTTTCTGCCGCTATGTTACTGCACTACCTGGAGAGGCCGTGGCCAGCCTGCCGGACGATTACAACCTGGTGGCTGCATTATCCATCCGGACCCGTCATCATCCAAACCTTCGCGAGAACCACCAGGGTGAGATCTTGCTAAGCCCGAGGCGCTTGAGCTCTCTGGTGGCTCACTCTGCATCTGCCTCGCCTTCATCTATACGCTCTAACTACGTGGTCATCACCATCATGCAGCCCCCACAGCAGCCTGTAGCGGTCACCGGCCGGGCTGGAAGGAATCACCGCTCATCCAGTCTGGACTCCATGGCCTCGGTCACTCGTCGGTGGACGGTGTGGAACTGCGCAGCCCTGCTTTGCCAGACTTCAGCCCGGGCCCTGCTGTGGCTCCTCGGGCTTTTGTACTTCAGCTCCCTGCCACTTGGTGTTTACCTGCTCATCATGCAGAATACCATGGCGGGTGTGCTGCTCGTCAGCCTGGTGCCCGTCAGTCTGCTTGTGATCATGGCGTATGGGCTCTGCCAGTGCATGTGCCACGAGTTCTGGAACTGTGTGCCACCTTAACAACCAAAGGGAGGAGGGCCATTTGCCCAAATGTTACATGATCGGGTGACTTGACCGCAGTCTGGATGTGTCAGTGGTCCGACAGGTTTGTGGAAAGTTATGGACACTTTCACGGTTCGTTCTGGGTTTTAAGGAAGCGTGTACATAAATGACTGAGAAGAAAAGCAATAGATTTCATAAAAAATACAAAGATCTGAGAAATTCCATATTGTAATTATGTTGCTTGCAATTGCGAGATGCCCTGATCGCTGCACACCAGTGAACCCTTGATTTAGCATGGTTAACAATCTGCCTGCATTATTTTGACCAAAATTAGTGCCTTCATTCATGTAAATGCCCACAGAAACCCACAGCACAGTAAAATATTGGCAATTTTTTTAGTGTCTTGCAAAGGCTGGTATTGCAATGACAATTAACAAATGATATATGGTGCAGTCCAAATTATTACAGAGCCTAATTTCAACAGAACCACTTCATTTGTTCTCTTGCTAATATGTAACTTTATCAAAATGATTCACCAAATATAAATGCAAGAATGTCTGTGTGTTTTCATTGTCCTGTGTTCCCTTTAGTGTCATGAAAGATAAATAATTTAGCAATGTAAATCATTTAGACAGTGACTTTACCTTATGTGCACTAGAACAATTAGTCTGAGTCACTCAGCTGTATCACTGAGGAAGGGACATCACATGCTGGTCAAGAACATTCTGGTAATAAAGTATTTATCCTTAACTTACCAGGCTTAGAACTCATAAACATACTATGCCTCTTTTTAGTATAAAAAATGTAATGAACTAACAAATTAAGCATTTATTGTACAAAAAATGGGACTTATGAGTTGATTTTACTTTATTGAACCTTATTATTACAACATTGAGTTGTTAGAGGAAATAGAAATAGTCAATGTCATAAAAAGGACACTCCACCTCTATTTGAGTCTTTCAGTCTTCTTGTAAAGAGAATTTTACTATTGGTTTTGGTTGAAGGGATACATTTTTATAGTTGTATAGATTGTCTTGTAGTTTCTGGTAACATCCTGGTTGTTGTTAAGTGTTGATTGTAAAATCACGATTACCATGCAAATAATACCACCTGTTCTCAAAACATGTGAAAGAGCAATGGGATAAAATAAAAAAGTTTGTGTGTGTGTGCAAAAAGAAAAAAAAAGATAAGATGTATGGTTGCACTTTATAAAAAATCCTGGTTTGGTTGCCACACCAAAGTTAAATGCAGGCATTGTTCGCTTTTTCCATAAATAGAAAATGTTCACTTGTTCGTATTTTCTAAATAAAATATCTAAAAGAATCAGATAAGTGGAAGCAAGATGAAGGCTCCATGGCATTTATATTAATGTTTTAAATGTTCAGAGATAAATAAAAGCTGGAATGTAAAACCTACTTGACCCAGGAGTGAAATGTCTCTTGTACAGTTCAGCCTATAGAGTGGTCTGTTCTGCATTAGCCAGAATACAGAGGAGACCAACTCAGGCTACAAATAAGTGGGGATAAAAATGAAAAAGCATAAACAGCTGAAACAGAGAAGGTATTACTGGTGATTGCGCTTAGCAAAGCAATGCACAACACTATAGTTATATGACAGTATATTCTTCTTATTATTATTATCGCCATTTTTCTGCCAGATTTTTTTCTCTAACTCATCTGTCAGTTTTCAAGATATTGGCACCGTTCCAACTCGATCTGATCAGGAATAGTGAATTGCAAACAGCTATTACATTTTTTCCCCCACAGGAATGAATAAAATAATTGGGTGGGTAAATGTTTGTGCACTCCACTTATATTACAATAATATAAGAGCACTAGCAACAGAAACTGCCTAGATTCATTCTCACATAATGATCCATTCTTCCTAGAATTCCATACCAACCACCTAGAAACACCCTAGTGACCATCTGGGACATCTTTCCAACCACCTAGTACCACCTTAGAAACCGCCTGGGATGCCATAGCAACCACTTAGCAACACTCTAGCAACCACCTAGCAACCACTCGGAAGACCATAGCATACACCTAGCAACAACCTAGTGACCACCTGGAACACCATATCAACCACCTGGGACATGGTGATATCAACCACCTAACAAGACCATAGCAACCACCTGGGATACCGAAGCACCATAGCAACCACATAGCAACACTGTAGAAAACATCTAGAAACACCCTAATGACCATTTCAGGCACAATAGCAACCACTTAGCAACACCTAGCAACCACCTGGGGTACCATCGCAACCATCTTGCAACACTGTAGCAACCACCTGGGATATCATAGCACCATAGCAACCACACGGAAGACAATAGTGTCTACATAGCAACACCCTAGCAACCAACAAACAACACCCCAGTAACCATCTGGGACACCATAGCAACCACCTAGTAACATCCCTAATAACCACCTGGAATTCTATAGCAACCACCTAGCAACAGCCTAGTGACCATCAGGTACACCATAGCAACCACCTAGTAACACCCTAGCATAGGATACCATACCACCCTAGCAACCTTCTGGGACACTACAGCAACCACCTAGTAACACCCTAGCAACCACCTGGGATACCAAAGCAACCACTTAGCAACACCCTAGCAACCACCTGTGATACCATAGCGACCACTTAGCAACACCATAGCAACCACCTGAAACACCATAGCAACCACCTAGCAACACCTTAGCAACCAAAACAACTGCAACCACCTAACAACAGTCTAGCAACCACCAAGCAATACCATAGTGACTACCTGGAATATCACAGCAACCATCTTGTAACACCTTAGCAACCACCTGGAACACCCTAGCAACCCATCTAGGATACCACAGCAACCACCACCATGCAGAGTTTAGCTCCATCTAAAATTTAACACACCTGCTCTAGTTGATGAAGCCCATCAAGGGCATTCAAATATTAGAGCAAGGTGTGGTAGATCTCCAGGACAAGGATTGGGCACCCCTGCCTTAGCAACCACCTGGGATACCATAGCAAACACCTAACATACCATAGTAACCATTTGGCAACACCCTAGCAACTGCAAGGAAACTGCTTAAGCTGCACCATCACTCTGCATTTTCTTCAGGAAATGCACTTTTCTAGTTATTGTTGTTGTTAATTATATAACATTATTTCTGCCAAAACAATCGGGGCTCAGTTTCTGAAAGCGTTTTAGTGTCAAGATTATCCTAATTTGTAGAGAGACTGTCCGGAGTGATCTCGCTCTACCGCCTAACTAATCATCTTTGTGCCAAGTATCTACCTGTGCTGTTTTTAGTGATAACAAATGAGCTTCAGTTGCTAAGTAATAACTAACTTTACATTGCAGCAAACTATTACAAATTTTTTACTTAAAAAAAATGGACACATTGGATAACTTTTATAAGATAATATTTTATTAGCAGCATATCTGGCATGTCCACAGGGTGATAGGAAACCATAAAAATGCTGCTGCAAGGACATTTTGTTGCTCACCATGAGAACAGTTTCTTTATGTTTTTATTTTATTTCGTAAGAAGTAAAAGAAGCATCATTTTCAGAGCTTAATGTCTGGATTGGCTTTAGAAGTAAAGAGCCGTTTAGCTGCAGTAATACAGTAATACAATAAATACCTCACAAAGACAGGAATACAATCCTGGGTACTAGAGTGTCTGTGTGTGTTACTACCAGCTTTTACAGTGGCCATCCAGTTTGCGGAATACCCCCTGCTATTTGGGGGTTCCCATGTTCCCACTTTGGCTGGCTACTCCAGTGTTGGCTAGCTGCTAACTCACTCACCATAGTGGTGCTGATGCTAGCTTCAGCGGCAACAAAACGCTTGGTTTAACAATTCTTCTTTTGGAAATGCGCTCTTTCTCAAATTAGTTACACTCATCTCCTGTAATGTCTTGGGTTTGAGAAATGAATAACACTTACACCAGTCTCTTGAGAAATTGGGTGAGTTTTCAGATTTGCTGAAAACTCAACGTGCTGCGGCATATTGTACAATTTTTCAGAGGAATCTCAAGCATATTGTTACAGTTGCTGGGCTATGAAAGACCAACTGGGGGAACAAATTTGCTACAACACCACCCTGAGGCAGACCAGAGCTGCATCTGTAGTTAGTTAAGAACAGACGGATGTTTCTCGATTGTGGGTGGAGCAGGATAAACAATGAGCCCCTGAATTTCACACCTTGATCCTACCCATCCAGAGAGAGCGAGGCCAGTTGTGCTCTTCTGGACTCCCTGCCACAGATGGCTTTACTCGTGACGTTGTGTATGTACTGTACAGTATTTTTAAAGAAAATAGACAATCTGATTTAATACGATTGAAGAGAGCATTATTAGTCCTACCTAATTTGATTTAATGTGATTTTTATGTTGATTTCAGTATAGTATGTGAAATGCTGAATGAAAATAATTGTACTGAATAGTTTTTAATAGTATTTTAAAATGTGAGTACACACCTTTTTAGTCTGTTACAACTTACCAGCTCAGGAAAAATATCGTATCTATCATATCATATATCATCCTGTCAGTGAATATCGTGATTCATATCGTGTATCGAGAAAATGTCTTGAAGTATCGTGATTAATTTTGCCACATCGCCCACCGCTAGCACATAATATTACTGACAGGCTGCTCCTCTATCAACTCCTCCAGAAGTGTGACTGGACTCTGCGAGAGCCAATCAGATGAGCGGATTTCTCACCAACAACAAACAAAAGATCGGGCTCAGACGTCCACTGCGCTTTCTCCATGTCTTTCTCTAAATGACACTCATCGATTAGCTGGATGTCGTCCTAGACAGCTGGATTCAACTTTCTGGATTGGATTTTGTCGCCTTCGTAGCATCGACATTCCGCCGTAACGGACCGAGGAGCCTCTTCGCTTCGCCAGTCTCTGCCAGGGAGCTGTTTGCTTTGCTGCTAGCTCTCACAGCTAGCGAGCTAGCGGACCGGATAGAGAAATAAAAAGGCAAAGAAACCCTCAGTCTGTTCGTGTCTTGTGGCGGCTGACAGTAGACGCAGCTAATCGCTGGCTACTGCTGGAGAGCTGTCCAGCTAAGAGTAGCTGGTGCGCGGTTGGTGTTGAAGGGAGGAATCCGATCGCGATGTCCGGACCGTCATCGGGCTGCGGCTTTCTGATGTCGGTCGTTGTTCACGGGGACTCGGCTCTAAACGAGCAGGAGAAAGAGCTAAACCAGCGGCTCAGGCGCCTCTATCCGGCCGTCAACGAACAAGAGACGCCGCTGCCAAGATCGTGGAGCCCGAAGGACAAATTCAGCTACATCGGCCTCTCTCAGAACAATCTCCGGGTGCATTACAAAGGTAAACTCCGGCGCATCATCAACACCAACAACAACAACAACAGAGCTGGTTAGCTGGATGGCTAACTTAGCTAGCAGTGGAGCTAAACCAAGTTCCTCGCCAGCGTTCAAGTAACGTTAGCCAGCTAGTCACAATGTTTACTCGCTAACGCTAGCCTCTTAAGCTTGGATAACTAGTACTGCGACATGACCGAGTCTTAGTTTGCCTCTAAATTAGCTACCAAGTCAGTGGAAGTAAAGCACAAAATTAGCTTAGCGTTGCTACTATAGGTAACTTATGAGGTATTACTGCCTCTACAGCGTTGTCATATTAGGCTACCTTGGTAGAAAACAGACAAGACAACATTAACTATGTAGTAAACGGTTCGTTTGGCTAACGAATCTGTTAGTATGTCTGGTCAGGGAGGTACAGCCTACGTTGTGTCAATGTAACTGATCAAGGTGAAGATTATTTGAGATTACTAGCTAGGTTAGCTAACGCTACGACAGCAGTCTCTGGCTGGACAGGAGCTTCAGCCAAGTTTTCAGAGTTAGCCAGCCTGCTAACTTCAGCTAAGCAGAGTCTTCAATGAATTCCGGAAGTAGCACTAAGCTAAATGAGTCATTCCACCTCTGTTAGCTGCCGATTTCTAGGTCAATTTCCTGCACTTTTTCTTGACTTGAGAGTCGTTGCTCATAATAACAGCTTGTCAGTCAGTCAAAGTCGCGGATGATCCGCTGTAGCTGCCTGACTGAACACAGTAGCCCACCAGCTCAGCAGGGCCCTGCTCTGGCTCTGACTGTCACTCGCTCATGTTGTTTTATTATTATGTGTTGAAGAGGTATAAAGAAACGGACATGGTGGTGGTGGTTTATGTGGGCCCTCTCGGGTTAAAGGCGTTATGGTTAGACGCTAGGTTAACAAGGTAACCAGCTAAACAAGTTTTCAGTGTACTCAACTCGCTCAAGTGCCAAATGGGCTGTAGCCATTTTCCTCAACTCAGTCAGTCAGCAAGGGAGGCCGCAAAATGTTAGCTGAGGCAATTTATTTAGCTACTCAGTAGTAATTACATGAAGTCTATGTTTATTCATTTTGGTAAGATATTTTTGCCTCAGGGGAGACTCATATATTGGGCGACCAATGACCTTTTTGCCTTTTGCTACAGGCTACTGTAAACAGGTTTGACACTACTTCACTAATTCTAAGTAGTTGAGCTCTGACCACTTGGTAAATGCTATCCCATTGTTTGCATCCAAAAATAGCTATATACAGTAAAGGCCATTAAGGCTGAGGCAGTGAACATTTTGTTGGCATACAGGTTTAAATTGACCACAGGTTAGTTGTTTTTGTGGCGCGGCAAGATATTAAACAGTAAAACGGAGTAATGAAAACAGACATTCGAGCAAGAGGCTGACCTCTTTGTGGTCGCCTACCTTTACACTGTCCACGTTTGGGGCAGATCTTTCAGTGTCATTGGCCCTCAATTATAAAACAGTTTTCTCTGGATCAGTATCTCCTCACTGCTGCTTCTTTCTTCTCTGCCTTCAGAATTCAGCCCAATAGGTCCCTGTTCACCCAGTACTTTCCCTGTTTTTTGTTCTCCTAATGTTCTCCTAATCCTAATCTTCCCTTATATTTCTTCTCTGTTTATGATTATATGTACTTGTATTTTTTTTTCTCAGTTTTCTTGTTTCTCATTGATTTAATTGATTTAATTGATTTTCCACTTACTGTGTGATAAAATACCTTGCATTCATTTGCATCTGTGTTATATTAGTTTCTTTGTTTCTGTGTCTTTGGTTATATTTTACTTGTTGACTTTGTACGTTTCTGTATTTTGAAACTGTCAGCCGTTTGCAAAGCACATTTGGGTATAAGAGAGGTGCTATATGAATAAAAAATGATCATTATTATTATTATTAAATAATAGTGTAGTCACTTAGATGCTTAGCTTTCTTTGGGGTTCTCCCACATGTTGATAAGGTCTACAATTAATCTCACATAGCCATTACACAGACGTAAATGTGCATTTAGGTACTAGTATCTATAGTTTAGACTCCCTTTATATACCCATCAGGGGTAAGCACAAATAAACATATAGTATTCATAATATTTCCTCTGTCTCCATCTAAGTGCTTAATATCCAAACGTAACCCCGAGCTGCTACTGGATTGATAAAAACAGACCTTGTCATATATAAAAATTATCATCAGCACTTCAACTTGTTGGCCAAAACAAGAAACATGTCTACTGAACATGTGATCAGTAACACGGCATCAAAATTTTTATGCATATCAAGCTGATACCCATATAAGGTTTTTTTTAACAGTTAAGCCATCTTCTGGTCAGCAGTAAAATTCATCTGCTGTGGTTTTGATTGTCTTTGTTCTGCTAATTTGTAGGTCATGGAAAGACCCCTAAAGATGCTGCATCTGTTCGTGCAACACACCCTATTCCGGCTGCTTGTGGGGTCTACTACTTTGAGGTGAAAATCATCAGTAAAGGACGAGATGGGTAAGGAAGTTTGTTTGTTTATTGGGCACATCCTGACCTGGAATGCACCAAGACACAAGAATATGTAACGGTCACAGTACATTAGTGTATTTTGTCTAATGCAGCCTTTTTGTGATTATCACTCATTTTACCGCTCTTGTAGATTTATAATGTCTGTCTGTCTCTCATTTTCAGGTACATGGGAATTGGTCTCTCTGCCCAGGGGGTCAACATGAACAGACTTCCAGGTAAAACAGGTTTTTGTATTTGGAACTTTTGTCTGGTTGAACAGGATAGTTGCCTCTGTCTAGCTGAAACATAGTCAGTTGTATTGGATTCTTTAATTCCCAAAGGGCCAGAAATGCAGTTTTTGTTTTAAGACCAAGGGAGCAAGACTGCATATTTCCTTTGCATTCTTGTTATGTTTAACGTCCTATTCTGTGGCCTGCCTCTGAGGACGTGCTGTCATTTTAAAGTTTGACATAAGCATTAGGGTGAGTACAGGTTCTAGGCTGTTTTTGTCTGGTTGTGTTTGGAAATCACTTGCATCATGCTTTGCAGTTATCTGACAAGTTCTCAAGACTGTATGTTTTATACTATGGACAGTTCCCTCAAACATTACTGTGTTATTTGAAATATGAGATACGAGAAGTAGCTAAAATGGGATATTTGTGTCGGTATTCGTTAATTCAGAATTCTTCTTATAATCTCTTCTCAAAATTTTTCTCATAATCTTTGATTGAAGTGTAGTAACTTTTGTCCCATCTCTGAAGTGCCTTCTGATTTTTGTTTGTCACCATGTGCCAGCAGATATAGAAAAATATTAACCAATAATATCAATACAATAAATACAACATTTGTAAATCCTGCTTAAGAGGTAACTAGTTCTGAATGTATCGTGTACATCATCAGTACTCGTAGAACACTGACCAACTTTTTTTTATTATAAATTGAGCAAAATTGGTCCCTTTTAGTACTGAATAAGTATCACTGCGTTCACAGTTCTTGATAGTAATTTTTAAAATGCAGCACTATTGGTTCCTTTTTCTCTGTTCCAACTGATCATATGTCTAAAAAAATTAATACTGTCATATACTGACATATTGTGTATTGTGAACATTTCTTGAAGTATCGCGATATGAGATTTTTGCCATCGCCCACCTCTACATATGCTACCTAAGCTAGAACTCCTGCACATGTAATTGAAATCATAAGACTGGCAACCTCACCAAAATGCCCCACACAAACCAGCAAACATTGTCAGGTGGGGTAGTCCAGTGGCTTTGGCAGTATAGCATCCTACAGCTGTGTTCCAAAAACTAGGCTACAGTCAAGAAAGGTGGGTTCTTGGGAGGACTTTCCTATGAAGGCTCCTTGTTTGTATTGCAAAATGAAAAATGGAACCATTTTCCAAGGATGATTTGTCACGTCATCAGAAATGATTTGGCACATAAAATTTAAAGGAGAAAACACTGTTAATGTGAATAAGCTGGCAAGCAAAATGCTAATGTAAATTATGTAATATGGGTCAGGCAGAACAATTTGTTTGTAATTAAATTCTGTATTGTAAGCGAGAAACTGTTAAATTAACTGGAAGCACACATTTCACACGCTGCGTTCAGGTTACATTCTCTTAAACACATACACAACCAAAGAAATAGTGTGCTATATATGTCCTTATATAATTTAGTGGCTTTTTTAAACAAAGGATTCTTCAGTAGTGTCCTTGAAATTTGTGAGAATGCAGGCTGCATTTCTCAGCTATATTAGGAGCATCCTTCTGATTGGAACAGCCTTGCATGACATAGCGGTGTAGAAAATGCAGCTTACCTGGACCAATGGCCTAGGTTTAGTTAGCTTATGTGTATTTTGACTTGTTAATTATCTTAAGAGTAGAGGATAGCTAATCAATTATATTGAGAGGACCCGGTGACATTCCGGGTGAAAATGGAAACGGGACAAAAGGTCATTCACTTTGCTCATAGGCAAAACTTATTGGACAAATTCACTGACTGCAAAAAAACTTCAGAGGCCTTTTGTTTGATCAGTTGTGAATTCCACAGTCGACAGTTTAAACCTTGAGAATTCACTTCACTTAATATCACTTTGGAACAGTCACAGAATCTTGCAATTTGTTTTATTGTAAAATGATCAAACCACACTTCCTTTTACCAAAATATTACTTTTAGGTTGCTTTATGTTCACTGATGCATATCTCCTGGAGGCTCTAACTGCTTTCACATATACCATACAACATGCTTCAAAGTCCAATGGAACCCCAATCCTTTCAAAATGTGACATGAGGTTTGAGAAGTGTCAGAACTTCTTCCTGCTGAGAACACGGTGACAAACTTTAGAATATGTGAATATACGTCTTGTCACCAGTTAACGATGCTGATGGTTCTCTGTATTGTGAAACACAGAAGTTTTTGCAGGCACAGCAAGGAATCAGATTTCATGTGTGAAATCTGATCCTATGTTTCTTCTACCTTCTTTATCTGCTACTGATGTTGTCTGTCCAGTACTGTGGAATTTAAATTTAGTTGGAATTGTCTATCACAAAGAACATCTGCTTTAAAATATTTCAGATGACACCTCTTCAGCGAGGAGTCTTCTGAATGTACATGTGTTTCATATAGTCATAGCATGCCTGAATGACTCTCATTCAAGGCTCTGTACCATAGCGCAAAGCTGCATGTATTGTGACTGTAAGACCTATATAGGGTAGAGATGCAATGAAACGGGAATCATAGGCCAATGCCGATATCCCTTGATGTACAACCCCATTTCCAAAAACGTTGGGCCGCCATGTAGAATGTAAATAAAAATAGGATGCAATGATATGCAAATCATGTAAACCATATTTGTAGAGGAAAATACTACAAAGACAACATATCAAATGTTGAAACAGAGAAATTTTATTATTTTTTGAAAAATATATGCCCATTTTGAATTTGATGCCAACAACACATTCCTAAAAAGTTGGGACGGCTGCTGAACAGTATTTTTCGTTTCATAACGCGCCAGATGTTTTCACTGGAGACAGGTCTGGACTGCATGCAGTTCAGTTTAGCGCCTGGACTCTTTTAATATGGAGCAATGCTGTTGTAATACATGTAGAATGTGGTTTTACATTGTCTTGCTGAAATAAGCGAGATCTTCCTTGAAAAAGACGTTGTCTGGATGGCAGCATATGTTGCCAAAACATGTATACATATCGTTCAGCATTAATGCTGCCTTCACAGATGTGCACGTCACCCATGCCATGTGCAGTAATGGACCCCTGTACCATCATGAATACTGACTTTTGAACTGTGCACTGATAACAGGCTGAGTGGTCTTTAGCCCGGAGGATGCAGTGTCCATGATTTCCAAAAAGAATTTCAGTTGTTGATTTGTTGGACCACAGGGCATTTTTCCACTTCGCCTCAGTCCATTTTAAATGAGCTCAGGCCCAGAGAAGGTGGCAGCGTTTCTGGATCCTGTTTATATGTGGCTTCTTTATTGCATTTTAGAGTTTTGACTTGCACTTGTGGATGCAGTGACAAACTGTTTTCATAGACAGTGTTTTTCAGAAGTGTTTCTGACCCCATGCAGTGATTTCCTCTATAGAATCAGTATTTTTAAATGCAGTGATGCCTGAGGGTTCAAAGATCATGGCCAGCAAATACTGTTTTTTTGGCCTTGACCCTTTCATAAAGAGATTTCTCCAGATTCTCTGAATCTTGTAATGATATTATGTGCCGTGCATGATAATAAGCAAAAGTTATTTGCTATTTTACATTGAGAAATGCCATTCTCTGATTGTTGCACTATTTGCTTGTGGTGGTGAATCCCTCCTCATCTTTACTTCTGAAAGACTCAGCCTCTCTGGGATGCTTTTTGTACCCAATCATGTTACTGACCTGTTGCCAATGAACCACTAGGTATTTTTTTTTATTTTTTTATTTTTTAAACACAACTTTGCCAGCTTTTTGTTGCCCCCTCCCAACTTTTTTGGAACAAATGTTGGTATCAAATTCAAAATTGGCCTATATTTTTCAAAAAACAATAAAATTTCTCAGTTTCAACATTTGGTATGTTGTCTTTTTGCTATTTTCAACGATATAAAGGGCTTAAATGATTTGCACATCATTGCATTTTGTTTTTATTTACATTTTGCACAGTGTCCCAACTTTTTTGGAAATGGGGTTGTACATGTTTGCCAACGCTGTTGCCAATACTTAAATGTTTCTGTAATGAAGAGATTAGGACTACAAAGGACTACTTTGTAACACTGAGATTTAGGAGTTACAAATGCAATGAAATGGATAAAATGCAGACATTTTAGTGCAGTAGTCCAACGTCACCTAAATGTTCTCTTCTGGAGCACATCATCAAATATCACTTTCTAATATGTCAAATGTAAATGTCTGCTGGATGCTGATCAGTTTTTTAAAGCAATTATTTGCCAATCTGATTTCAGTAGCAGTGAGCCCATGTTCTACAGTGTTTTTGTTTTTTATCCCCCCCCCTTAAGGTCCACTTATAATGTCATTGTGGTATTATGTACCAAAAACAGTCTGAATTCATTTCCCAGTCTTTCTTTATTCCTTAGAATTAAACAGCCTGTTTTTGTTACTGTGCCTTTAAAATATATATGTAAATGAGCTGTGTTCTGAAAGCCTGCTCTGTGTTGTGCCTCATTCAAAACACAGTTCAAGCTGAAACACTCCTTAAAACTTCTGCATGAATAGGTGGGGCTAAACTTCTGCAAGCTGAGTAGTTGGATGTGTGCAAATGTGTTAGTCTTCATGACCTCATCGAAATAATTAAATCAATACAGGCTTGTTTCACAGCTTAGTTTACATATATAGACTGTATGGACTGGAGAGAGTTATTAGTTGATGTTTAGTTGCAAGGCCTTCGGTTGAACTCAGCCACACTGGAGGACAGCCCTACTCCCTGTGCTGACAGTCATGCGTCAGGGTCGTATGTTCAGATGCATGCAGTGTGAGCAATTTGGCAGAGCGCGGTGACACCCAGCCCCATTTGTGCAATCACAGGACACAGGGAGGGTCTTCTGCAGCCTGTTGAAGAGATAAGAGCCTAAAGCACACTCCCCACATATATCCTACCCTTAGGGGTGTGAAAATACATCAGTGCATTGTGAAGCATCAACGTGATGAGGGCAGTTCGATGTTGGAATTGATTATAATTGTTATATATATTAGAATAATGTTCAGTTATTTATGTGCTCATTTTCTTGGCCAGAATGCAATACAGTTCTTGGGGTGTGGAAACAACTAAGCACCTGACAATTCAGTTTGTCTTTGATTCAGAGTGCCAAGATGGTTGTAAAATGATTGATTCTTCATTTTAATTTTTCTATAGCCTACATTCCAATTTTATTCTCGTATTTGTCCACATTCATAAGCAATGTTAGCTTAGCTAAATGTGGATGTAGCCTACACACGGTGTACTTGTCACAACTAGGCCTGTGCCTTTATTCTTTGTGTCTCAGTATGTACAATATTCAGTCATATGTAAATGTTTACATGTCAAATTACACGTTTTGTTAATTTCCTCAGGGCCCTTCAGATGGTCCACATTTCTGCTGTATCTTTTTGTGTTAGGAACTGGGTTAAAAACAAAAGTGTGGACTGTCTGGGGGTCCTGGAGGACCGGTTTGAGAACCACTGCTGTAGAGGATGTGTTAACTTATTTTAGTAAATTAACAAAACATGCAGTTTGACTGGTTTGAGAGCCGCTGCTCTACAGAGAACATACTTAAATAAGGCATTTTTCTGCAGTTTTTAGTGCAACATTTTTATGTATGTTAACATATTGGGGAAAAAATAAAACATCAGATATAAAATGAACTTTTGCACAGGCCATATTTAATGTTTTATTGTTTTTCACAATATGTTAAATTAAGCAAATAAACAGTAATTGTGCATTAAAATGGGCAGAAGTGTGTTTTCTGTGGTGGATGTGTTACATTTTTTTCAATAGAATATCAACAAAGCATATAATTTGAACAGAGGCTCCCAAACTTTTGCATATGACTGCAGCCTGTACTGTTTATTTTTTGTCAAATGTTTGAAACGGTTGACATTTTTTCAATTCCAAAAAAAAATACATGACTGTAAAAATGATTGATGGTTTGTTCTTGAAATGTAGAATCTTTCAAGAAAATCATGATGGGTCTGAGAGTTGTTTTAACATAAAAATCCGATAATGTGTTCCAAACGTGCAGCAGTCGGCCAATTTTTATTATTATTTTAACCAATCTGTGTTGAATTTTTATGACGTAAATAACATGAGGCAGGTAAATACCTCTTTGCTGTATTTGAATGCTACTGCATCTGTACAAAAACACCAAAGAATAGTTACCCATGACTCATTGTACTGAATAACCAGCCACCCTTTACTTTTGATGTAGCACTTTATCTGTTATTTAAACAGACAAGTGATTTCATTCAAGAATTTTAAATTCCAGTTTGAGTCATTATAGAGCAAATAATGCTGTTTACACTTTGGCTTTACTGCTTTGTAAATTATTGCTCCATATTTGTATATTGTGTATTTTCTCTACATTGTGTTTTAAAGGATCATACAAAAAATAATCTCAAGTGAATCAAATTGTGGGCAAATTTGAGATTTCATGATTCATTGAATTGTTTCCTAAAGGATCATTATAGAGTTGTTGAGATTAACACTTGTTTTCCTCATTTCTGGGTGCTGCTTCTTTCAGCTCACTGAATGCTAAAGTATCTGGCCATCATTCTGTCCTCTCAGGTTGGGACAAACACTCATATGGTTACCACGGTGATGACGGCCACTCTTTCTGCTCCTCGGGCACGGGACAGCCGTATGGACCCACGTTCACGACAGGCGACGTGATTGGCTGCTGCGTCAACCTCATCAACAACACCTGCTTCTACACAAAGAATGGTCACAGTCTAGGTAGAATCCATTAGCCTTCTCTATAACTCCCGACTTCCACTCTGAACCCAAACCAGCACTGACCTTAAACACCCCTCTGCCTGATGATTCTTCTCCCTCTGCGTATTGATCGTCCTGCAGGACACGCTTGAGCTCCTCCGTACCGTTTATCTTCCTTTACCTTATTGAGAATTTTGCAAGTAGTGGCAGTTATTCTGAAAACATACAGGGCTGTTTTTTTAAAGACATGAATTAAGCCTAGTCTCGGACCTAATTGCAGTGCCAGTGGTGAATCTCCATTGGAAATTCTTTTTAGTCTAGGATTAGGCTAAATAGAAGTCTGGGAAACTGGCCAATAATGAATGTATTGGAAGTATCTAGGTGATATTAGTAAAACTGTTCCTTTTAAGAGACTGCTAGAGAAAGTTCAATAAAAATAAAATAGCCAAGTAAAAAAAAACTCCTGAATCAGCCTAAATCTACAGACTTAGGACATGACACACTACACATTAATGACCAGAGCTGCAACTCCCAGTGTTTTCATTTTCAAATATTCTGATGGATATTATCTCCAGTGTTCAAATATTCTGTAATAAGGAAGGCTCAAATTATGTTTCACTTTAATAACTGAATAAAATAGTATTATTATTATTGTTATTATTATTGTTATTATTATTATTATTATTATTATTATTATGCACTGTTGTATACATATTTTTATTCCATTTGAATTAAACCTAACTGAAATAATACAAGGTAATGAAAACATCATAAATAATTATTTTCATGGTAAATTGCATGAAAATGCTAAACTAGGCACCCTTTTCAATCTGGCAACCCTGAACAGGTTTCTGGCTCTGTTTTAACAGTCACAAGCAATGCAGAAAAGTTTATTGCATGTTGCAGTCTGAATAATTTTTCTATGATTCTGGAATACTAGCCAGCCTGTATCCTCTCATTTATTGATGCTAATAAATGCAACTGAGAGCCTGCTAGCTAGTTAGCTAGCAATCTGAAAGCTTATTTGAACTATACTCAGAAAAAGTGTGGAATTGCGAGTCTCATAAGTTGCGCTAAATCGCAATCTTCAATGTGCCCGATGTGCAGAGCTGGCAACTCTACACAAGCTTAGTATTTGTTTCCTTGCTGAAGTGCATGGGTTCACAAAAGTGGTAAATGTGTTGGTTATTCGAGTATCTTTTTCATTTTCAAATATTTTATTCAACGTAATATATTGTTAAATTGATCAAATTTTTGAATATTCATTGCAGCCCTATTAATGACTAATATTAAATCACTTGGGTACAATTTAAGTATTATTGAAATGCTATCTCTACCCCTGTGCATTTATCTTGAATATTTTGCAGAATTATTTGAACAAATATGTATGTTAGCACATTACTTTCATTCATGTAACAAAAGTAATTGTTATAATGTATGTAGAGATTAACTGTATTATGTGTTGTCTTTTTTCAGGTATAGCTTTTACAGATTTACCAGTAAGTGTCTTTTTTTCATTCTGTATCTTAATGTTGACATCAGGAACACTAATTTGTAATTTCTTCCTCATATAGTGACCTTGGTCTATGAAAATCTTGAAACATATACACAGCCAGTCTTTTCATGGAGACCTAGACTTTGCTAAAGTGGGTGGACTAACAAGCCTTAAGTATTTCACTAGCCAACAGAATGAAGGTCTGTTTGGGCCTAAAACAATAATCCATTGAGTCGAAAACAGAGTTGGCATGGCTCCAGCATTCATGTTTCTCAGAGTGTGGCTGTGAAGTGCAGTTTTCCAGCTTTGACCTTTCTTTTTATTGGACCATAAGCACGAGCGCTCCCAGAGTTATTTCTCCTGAAAACATCATCACAGAACGGCCAATATTGCCCTTGTACCTGTCATCTTTAGCTACAAAGGCCACAGACACAGAAAAACCTATTTTCTTAAAGTGTGTGTGCTTGGGGAAAACATTTCACATTGGAACAGTATGTTGAAGATGACTTAGCAGGAGAAGTTAACTGTGCACTAATCTTTGTTTTTTCATTCAAATATTTTCATTCCACAGCCCAACCTGTACCCGACAGTGGGTCTCCAAACACCAGGGGAGGTTGTGGATGCAAACTTTGGGCAGCATCCATTTGTGTTTGACATAGAAGACTACATGCGCGAGTGGAGAACCAAGATCCAGGCTCAGATCGAGCAGTTTCCCATCGGCGAGCGGGAGGGCGAGTGGCAGGCTATGATTCAGAAGTGAGTCTGGTGGTGTCGGTCATGCTGGGACCCACAGCAACTGAGCCCTCTCAAATCGTTATTGCGCCCCTCATGTAGATACTGACACAATTGCACACCCATGACTCACGTAAAGATCTAGGGTGCACTCAAAACGGCATACTACTATACTTCATACTGCAAGCTGCACTAGTATGTACTGTATACTATGAGCTAGTAGTATACAGTATAGTATCCAGTGTACATAAAAAGACATGAGCTATATTATAGTGCAGGGGAGTGACTAGATTGGCTCAGTCCCTGATGTTGGCCATCAGACTGATCTCAACACCCGCCCCATTTTCCTCAGCACTCTTCAGCAACACGTGGATGTATTTTTGTCGAGAGTAGTTTTGAAAGATACAGTCACAATTACAGACAAAACCGATCTAATTAAACTAGTAACACACAAACAGTTTTACTTTTCATGTCTTTTGTTGAGCACATTGAGTAAACATCCACAGTGCAGGCTAGAAAAAGGAAGTGAACCTCTGTGTTAAAGACTTGTAAGAGCTAATTGGCAAATGGTATTTCAATTAAGAAGAGGAAATTAGAAGTGTGGCTTTCACAGGTGCTTTGCCCATTAAATGAAGGTGGTTACTGACATCTGTTCTTTTCAAGAAAAGTTAGTGTGAACCATGCCTTGATACAAACAACTTTCAGAAGACCTCAGAAAACATGTAGAGACAAATGAAGCTGGAAAAGGCTACTTTAGGCTACTGAAGACTTAGGTGTGCATCGAGCCACTGTTGCACAAATTGTCTACGAATGGAGAACATTCAGGACTGTTGCTGCTCTCCCCAGACAGGGTGTCCTATTAAAATCACTCCAAGAGCACAACAGGGAATCCTGAAAGAGGTGGGAAAGAGCCCAAAGGTCCAAGGGTAACAGCAACCCTACAGAAGACTCTACAGACTGCAAAAACGTTTGTTCATGTGTCTGTCTAAAGTTTGCCCAAGACCACCTAGGTGTTCCACACTAACTCTGGAAAATGTTCTATGGACTGATGAGGGAAAAAAGTGGAGCATTTTGCACAAATGCATAACGCTATGTTTGGAGGAAAAAGGACACTGCACACCAACACCAAAACCTCATCCCAACTGTGAAGCGTGGTGTAGGGAGCCTCATGGTTTGGGGCTGCTTTGCTGCCTCAGGGCCTGGACGCTTTGCGATCATTGAAGGAACAAAGGTGTTTCAAAACATTTTACAGGAGAATGTAAGAGCAGAAGACCATGACCTCAAGCTGAAGAGATGTTTGAATGATGCAACAAGACAATGACCCAAAGCACACAAGTAATCAACTCAAGAATAGTAGAAAAAGACAGAGTTTTGGAATGGCCAAGTCAGAGTCCTGACTTTAACCCCAACAAGATGCTGTGGTATGAAGAGGGCTGTGCAAACAAGGCATGCCAGAAATACTGATGAATTAAGACACATTTGCAGAGAGTAATGGTTTAAAATACCTTCTCAGCATGGTGCAAATCTTATGATTTGATGACTGCTAGAGAAGCTTACTTTTTCTAGCCTGAACTGTGGATGTTTACTGAATGTGCTCAATAAAAGACATGAGAAAAACGACTGTCTCTGTGTTAGTTCAGTTAGATTGTGTTTATCAATAATTGTAACTTGGACCATGTTTTAGTAGTAATTAGAAATCCAAGTAATTCCAAAGGGTTCACTTACTTTTTTCTGGCAGCTGTACCATGACAGAGTGGGTGGGGGAACAATTATTATTATTATTATTATTATTATTATTATTATGTTTTGTGTAAGAAAGGGAGGAGAAATTAATATCAGGTATAATTGCAGTATGAAGACTACATTAATCAGGCAGGCTAAACTGGTAAATAGAAATATCTAAGATTAATCATACAAACAAAAATGTAACAAGCTACATGCAACAAAAGCAACAAGTAAACATTAAATGTAATATAGGCCACTTTGATTTGTTGCTCTGTAATCATGGCACGTCTGTAATCTCTGCTCTTTGTTGGCAGGATGGTGGCCTCCTACTTGGTTCACCACAGCTACTGTGCCACCGCTGAAGCCTTTGCCAAGTCCACTGACCAGGCTGTGCACGAGGAGCTCGCCTCCATCAAAAACAGACAGAGTGAGTCCCCTTATGTCTTCACACCTGCTTAAACGCCCTTTAGCTTTTCTCAGTTCATTCTGTGATTAAATGTGGAACAGATGGTATGCTCCAGGTGGAGATATATTGACGAATCCTCACATGATTTTGCAGAAATCCAGAAGTTGGTCCTGTCTGGCCGAATGGGGGAAGCTATAGAGACCACTCAACAGCTCTACCCCAATCTGCTGGAAAGAAACCCTGACCTTTTATTCATGTTAAAGTAAGTGGCATGGTTAAACGTTTGCTCCCGGTCCTATAGAAGGGTTTTGAGGTTTAATGGAGGTGGATTTTGCTTTTTTCTTCATAACGTATTTATCCTTGATATCCACACACAGAGTCAGGCAGTTCATAGAGATGGTGAATGGGACAGACAGTGAGGTGCGCTGTCTTGGTGGGCGGAGCCCAAAGTCCCAGGACAGCTATCCTGGCTCTCCTCGCCTCTTCAATAGCCCTACCCACAAACCCACTAGCTCTCAGGCATACCTGTCAGGTATATATTACTTACTGAATATTTAAATATATATTGCACTAGGTTAGCTGTGACCTTATGGCTATACATGGCAGTCTAAAGATATTTTGGAGTTTCATTACTGTGTGAACTGTCTTCATATTTTGTGTGAATAACTGTGTGCTGTGCTCAATCACTAGGTTTTGATAGTAACTGCTGTAATGGAGTGTCATCCAGTAAAGCCCACTCTTCAGCACATGGTCACAAGCCGTGTCCCGTAAGCATGCCCAGCGGCGAGCTTGGGGTTCTGAATGGCAGCCGTACCCAGCAAGCCGGTCTGAGGTATGGTCATCAACACACATGCTCATCAGGGATGTACTTGCAATTTACTTGTTTTTTAAAACCCACCCCATGCCACACAAGAGCTCGAGATTCACTGTAAAGTCTGCTTGATTAAGTTCTATAGTCTCATATTCGGACGAAGCCTGTCTGTTGTCAGTGCTTTGCTCCATTAGCCTGCATTGTCTTGTAAAACCATTTATGTACAAACTAGCCCAACATTCACTAAAGAAATAAGCTTTTATTCATGTATTTATTGACTGAATACATTTTCAGATTATTTATAATGTCCCTCTGTCACTTTCCAGCAGAGCTGCTACTCCATATAGCCCACTCAGACCATGTGTTGTGCACTGAGTAGCATATCAGCGTTGGTTTCTCCAAAAACTAAAACAATTGAGTACATTTTGGGAAAAACAATATAAACTTAAAAAAAAAAAAATACAGTGCATGTTTTTATTTTTTATAATTTTTTTTTTACATCTGATAAGATATTTTCAAATGGCTGCTGTTGTCAACTATAAATACAACTTAATGCAAATTTGCCAAAAAAAAAAACAGTTTAGGCCATGCCTACTTCCCTAAATACAGATACAGAAATTAGGAGCGTTGTACAGATACAGATAGAGGCATTGTTTTACACCCTTAACAAACATAGATCTAACATATTATTCTCTGCACATCTATTCTGTTTAATATAGGTTTATGTTGTCTACTGTATATTTTTTTGTTTGTCTCTTGACACCAATGCTGAGAGAAATTCCTCCTTTTCATTTAATCTGTGAACTATTGGTGAACTATCCCTTGATGCATTTGTCATGTGGTTCTCACTCAACCCTGGAGGTATTAGAGTACCCCTCTGTTTTTTCCTGCCTTTTCTTATTGTTTTTGTTTTGTTTTGTGTTGTGTGTGTGTGTGTGTTGTTGTGTGTGTGTGTGTGTGTGTTTTTTTTTACTTTTGACATTTCAAGTTAACACAAAATGGACCATTTAAAGTTCACAGGTTTAAAAACAGTTCATAATGAGCAATAAAAAAAACTTATATTGTTAATTTTCGCTGTTCTGTAGTAATGATGTGGAGATGGAGGTTGATCATATCTCTAATGGAGTGTCTGAGTCCTCCTCTAATGGCTTCCTGAATGGAAGCTCCACACACGGAGCTGACCTCGAGGACTGTGATGCAGAGATGGGTAAGACTAATGATAATAATGGTGATGGCTTTTATTGAAATAGCAGCTTTCTCACATTTAAAATACTGCTGAAAGTGTTTTAAAAACACAGTAGAGACAAGGCATGGGTCAAGGAAAAATGGAAAGTTATGATACAAACTCCAAAAAATGTCATTAGTTATTCACATAAATGCTTTTCACACAGAAGTGGAGTCAGCTCAGTCCAAGAGGCAGTTGTGCGGGGGGAGCCAGGCTGCTATTGAGAGGATGATACACTTCGGCCGGGAGCTGCAGAGCATGAGTGAACACCTCCGCCGGGAACGAGGCAAAAACTCCGCCAACAAGAAGATGCTCAAGGTACCAGCACCAGAGAATTCCTGCTTGATTATCTGGTCAGGTATTGCAGGGTGCTCATGAGAAAGTCCACAATGGATGTGGGCCTATTCAGTTTTTGTGCTAAATGGTAAATGGTAAATTCTTTTTAAAGGACAAATATCCTCTTTCTTTCCTCAACACAAAAAATTTCAGCACTGCGCCACGTTTCAAGTCCAATTACAGGACTTTGTAACTGTGCGTTTTTTATATTGATGACATCAGTGAGTTTGAACTGCTTTACTCAGTCAGTGAGCTGAGGCATCTTGCCAACCAATCAGCACTCAGTGGCAGTTTGAGTTAACCTATTTGCTGTAGAAAAATGGTAGGTTTTCTTCTTTTAATGTAATACATGTTTCTACTTTCCCAAAATTAAAGGTCTCTCATTTTGCATGTATTGAGGCCTCTCATAGATGGCTTTGGCATTATTGCAGTTACGTTTTTGGCATAATGGGATTAAAAGTAAGTGGACAGGTTACCTCTAAACTCTCAATCTACTTATTAGTCAGGTTTAATTTTTTACTCATCCAGAATGAAACACATCTAATGGTACAGTTTTGGATCTGGTATAAACGTTTTGTGGTGTATACAGTGAAATCCTCCCAGAATTTGATGTATAAGGCAAAAAACAAATTTTATGAAAATGTGTTATGGTTACATCAACAAAAGGAGAATCAAATGTCAGCTGTTCCAATGGTACACATTTTCCTTAACAAATACTGGTTTTAAAATGAATGAATACTGAAAATGAATGAAAATGAATTATCTTTACCTTCTTTATATTTATAATGTAGCTTTTTATCTGGTCTTAGTTTGTGGATTGGCCTAATTGCTTTCCCTCTCTGCTTGTACAGGACGCGTTCAGTTTGCTAGCATACTCGGACCCCTGGAACAGCCCTGTGGGTTACCAGCTGGACTCCATTCAGAGAGAGCCTGTCTGCTCCACACTCAACAGTGCAATATTAGGTACAGCTGCACACAGTTCCATTGACTTACACTAAAAGTAAAGTAGGTTTTTTCCTTCTCCTGTAAAGTTACCACTTTGGAGATACAAGGTTTTCTTCCGAAAATATACAGTACCTTGAAAAAGAATAAAGCAAAAGACAATGAAGGAAGGGAACAAAAACAAATACTGAAAAATAAGGAAATCTCTACAATCAGCTGAAGCAAAGGTGAAGGAAGCCATAACTATTTTTCATTATTATTTGAAATAGCCTTCTTGGTTGCATTCAGTTTGGTCAGCAGTGCATCTCATGGAAAATAAGAATAAACTATGACTCATCTGCTCAAAGCAGTAACAGAAAAAAAGAAATCCCTCTAGTTCTTCTGACTAAACTGATACAAACTGCTGCAAGGACCTGGCTGCAGTGAAGGCACTCCTTCTTTGTTCGTTTGTGTCTGTAGCACCTACAGAACATTTTTTGACAAATTATATTATTGAGCCACTGGAATCTGTGCCAGTGATGTGTAAATTAACGACAAAGATTTTTGGAAAAAGAGTCACATTATCACATATATTCTAACAGCAGGAAAATTCCTTATAGCAGCAGTTTTGCAACCTTTTGTAACTCATGACCCACACAAACATCCTCAAAAGCTTTCTTTTCAACCGGCCTAAACTTTTCAAATGCAAGTAAATATTTCACAATAATCAGTGTAACCTGTTGGACTATATTTATGTATTTTTGATTTTTAATTTTTGCAAGTAGTTATCATAAAAGTAACATTTGTAATATTTAAATTAATGGTTTTCTCAATTGTCTGTAATGTAATAAATAGAGGGACTTTCAGCAGCTCCCTAGCAGTATCACCACAGCCCATAGGTTGAAAAGCACTGCGTAGATATTCAGTTCTGGACATGTAGTCTAGCACAGTTTGGTGACCTTTCTACACCAACGCACCTACTAAAACTGATGAGTGATTTCTGAATCTGGTATTTCAGCAGGAAAATCACCAACCTGTGCTGGACTAAGGCACTCCAGGATCAGAGATGGACACCTATTGTTTTATAGGCTAGTACTGGGTCTGTTTGGGAAAACATTCATTGAATTAGTCAAAAGTAGATAAACATTTAGCAAAGTTAAGCACTATTTGGGCTGCATTAGATTTAGAATTTTTAAGGGATTTGATTGGCTGATCCACATGGGGAAAAGTATCTGTACAAGTTCCCCAAATTCCCACAGATGTATTAACACATCTTGGCCCAAATGTTCACACCAGTATTACATGACAAATACCACACTCAGTAACATTAACATCATGGAGCACAACTGTGTTTATTAGTAACATTTCTGTTAGGGTCAGCTAGAGCAGCTATTACCGGTGGAGCTCTATGCTCAGCAAATTGCAGAAAGTAACTCATTCCAGAATTATGATTATTTTTGCTGCCGGACATGTTAAAATCGTGGACATTTTAGATTTGTAGAGGATTAAAATCTTTATCGACAATTACTTTTAATTTTAGTCCTTAGCCGAGTAAAATGAACCCAGCTTGAATAGCCCTGTAGTAGTAGTAGTAGTAGTAGTAGTAGTAGTAGTAAGGTTGGGCAATATGATATTTAGTGTTATTGTGATAAATTGCCTGTCTTGGCACAACATTGCTATTGTCGGTAAGAACACTGACTATGTGTTTCAATACAAATAGAGCAGCATTAGTCTTGTTTAATTGGAATTAGGGCAGCACAGTATGTGATGTTGAATACAAATCATTGTATTCATAATTTTCAGTAGTATTTTTTTAAGGTGGCACTATCGTTTTTTTTTTTGTTTTTTTTTTATTGTCTGTTCCAACTTAACAGATGTCAGAAATGATAAATATCTGGGCATATTGTATTTTAAAAATTTAAGTATCATGATGATATATTTTAGCCATATTATCTGCCTCTAAGTAATAGCTGAATGATACAAAGAGCTGAGAAACATATGTATATGTGTATATTGCAGAGACTCATAACCTGCCGAAGCAGCCCCCTCTGGCTCAGGCGGTTGGTCAGGCGGCTCAGTGTCTGGCCCTCATGGCTCGCACGGGCATCGGCTCCTGCGCCTTCGCCTCCGTGGACGATTACCTGCACTAGCCCCTGGAGAAGCTGCCCCCCTTTAAACAACCGTGCAGCGCGGCCCATGTCATCCCAACTCAGCCCAGCTTCCCGAACACTGGGCCTGCCCTGAACCATGGCCTGGAGCACTGAGCCTCCAAACAAGCCAGACCAGACCCATCCCATAATGTTGGCTACTCTTCAAGAGACTGGATCCTCTTCACCCAGGCCAGCTGAGCCTAAAGACACATTAGGAGGAAGGATCCCTCGAGCCAAACTGATTCCTGAACCATTATGCTCTTTTGCTTTTTGTTCCTTTTTAAATTTTTTGGGGGGAGGGGAAGGGGAGGTTGTTTTTGGGTGGGTGGGTGTTGCAGGCTCCGATTGTTTCCTATTTTACAAGGCATGAGGCAGATTATTCTGATTATAATTAATGTTATCATTAAACTTGCATATAAGATATATTTGTTCTTGATTGAAAGCTGGCTAAGTGAGCACGAAAGGTCCCAGTACAGTAACACCCTGCTGTTTTTAAGGTGTCAGCTTGTGTACTTGTTACCATTTAAACCCTCCCCACCTCGTTTTTTGAAATGATTATATTAACATGCAGAGTGGAACATTTTAGTTACCTGAAGAAGATAAAAAAAAAAAGAAAAAAAATGCCGTCTAACACTGCTGGACTCATCCTTAGTGGTGGTATTTAGTATAGAGAGTTAGTGTGAGCTATATATGAGTTAAAGCCCTTTTGTGCAAGCGCGCCCACCCTCTGCCAACTGCACAGCAGGTTTGATGCAACGTTTGGACACTTGATTTGTAACTGTATTGATGTCTATGGCTATTCTCATCGGCCCCAGTCCCTCAGTCCATCTCTTTGACTGTCCTCATCCAGGCCAACTCACCACTCACACTTGCACTGTACAGTATGGCTCTCAGGCGCCTGGGCCTGCATCTATCAGTCACTGCAGAGTGAGAGCGCTGATGAAGGATCACTTCCCTTTGCCCCTAGTCCAGGGATGTCCAGCTCCGGTCCTGGGGGGCCAGGGACCAGCACAGCGTGACCATTTCCATGCTAAAACTCAGCTCATTCAACTCCACAGCAACATTTAGTAGAGGTATCTGAGCAGGAAAATCGGCAAACTGTGCTGTCCTAATACCCACCAGGACCAGAACTAGATAGCCCTGCCTTAGCTGCAAAAAATATTAAAGGGAAAACCTCTTCCTGCATCAGCTCTTTTTTCTGTGGAAAGTTTGATAAATACAGGCCCAGGCCAATCAGGTCACATTCAGCTGAAAGAGGCAAGTCTGCTCCTGGTTTTCTCCCATCGTTTACCAGCCAGCCCTTATTGACCATCAATACATTAAAAACGAAGAGAATGATACAGTATTGTCAACAGCACTGTCTTATCATTTTCAGTAATAAAATATAAATACCCAGGTGGTGCCATGTGTAATGACTGCGTTCTTCGCAATTCCAGAAAGTATTTTTTGTAGAACAATTTGATGGCGTATTGGGGTTGAAATGAATCATCTGTTTTGCACATTGCTGGTTGTGGACTGTATTTGGTGTGGATGCATGTTACTGCAAAGGCTATCATAGGTAAATGTGTAAATATTCAGTAAAACACAAGTACCATTTCCACTGAAACAGGTGAGCTCATGTTGACCTGTAAATACCATCACTAGCTGCCTGCATTAGAACCTGATGAATCCAGTGCTCACAAAATTCATGCCAGCTATGTGGACTTCCAGCACATTGTACAATAAACAAACTCACAATACAAACCGTGATGGTTCAGCCATAAAATATACATACACAACCCCATATTCACTCCAAATGTAGTTGATCTGCAAAGATGTTTTGTGGACAAAACTGCCTAAAATTCACGTTTCAACATGGCTGATACAATTATTAGCTAAGCAATGTACGTTTGTACATTTTATGTTGTACAGAAAGAGTCAGAGAGCACACAAGTCATTTGAACATTTAATTTTGAGTCAAACCATTTGGACACACCTAATTTCATATAATACATTTTAAAAGCTTATGTTTAAATGCAAATTTGTTCCTAGGACAAATAGTAAATTTGATGGCTGTGGCTGAAATAATTTCTGGAATATCACTGCTGTTGGAACAAAATGTTAAATCAGTGTTTTTTTTTGGTTGGTTTTTTTTTAGTAGTTTTTTTTTGTATAATTTGAAAACACCAGCTACCATTTATATTGTCTCAATTTCATTACTAATGGACCAATAGAAATGGTCCACAATGACTTGGAATAAAATTTTGTTACACTGACTTACCCTAAAATTCAAGAATGTTTTAGTTACTTTCTTGAAGATACAAGGTTTTATTCCAAAAGCGATCTCTTCAGTCCTGTTGGAAAAATCATCTCAGGTAGCTATTCATGAAGCAGCTTGAGAGAAGATTAACAGCTGCATATTTTAGATTCTAACACAATCTAAAATAAATAATTTTGGTATCTGATCATTCCATATGCGTTATTTCAAAGCTTTGATGTCTTCACTATTACTGTAAAATATGGAAAGTAATAATGAGGCAAACCTAAGAGTTGGTGTGTTCAAACTTTTGACTGGTTGTGTACGTTCAGCTTTGTAACAGCTGATTTCCATATCGGCACTTACTATAAAGACCTCATTAGCAAAGAAATGACTGCTAGACATTAAAATAAACATATTTTCATAAAGACCGGTTCTAAGAACACTGACTACAGTGATTATAACATTGGGGGGAGTTCATCCCATTTTTTGGACTCTTTAAGGTCAATGACACATTCATTCAGCCATGAGCTGCTCCCAGTCACAAAATAACCCAACAGTGTTTCTCCAAGGCAACTGCAGACTTGCCATTTTGTCTGGAGCCCTCCAGCATACGACAGTCCTGACTAAAACAGCTGAAATGTGCAGTGAGGTGAGCAGGCGGGCTGTCGCCTCCAATCTGTCCATTTAAATGTTACAGCTCTCAGCTGGGAATTAGCTTCTGCTTCCGAATAAATCTCTTGTTGCACTTCTCTGCCTTGGCCTTCAGTTCTGCTCCTGCAAGGACACAATGACAGTGGAGCTTTTAACTCATGACTGATGGTTGAGGAAGGAATATATGCTTATTTAACATTCACAGCCTCAAACTCACCCCATTTCTTATTCACAAACTGCACTGCAGCTCCTTGGTTGGCACCCCTTTTCTTTTCCAGGGATAAAAGCTCAGCATCTGAAAGACAATTCCTTGATGAGCAACAATTCAGTCACCCAGCAACTGCTTATTCCTGAAATGACCCATATTAAACATGTATATTGAGTGTAACTGATGTGCTTTCTTACTGGTTGTTCTCTGTTTTCCTGGTCCATATAAGCGTGACTGAATGAAGTCCATGGCTGACTGCTGCAGTGAGGCATCACTGGCTTTGTCCTTCAGCCGCATCACACTGCAGTTTCCCTGCAGACTAAAACAGGACACAGGATTTCATACTGTGAACATGAAGCTCACGCATTCTGTTCCCAATGCAGGCAGTCACCTGATACATTCTGTAGTTAATGGGAGTTCAACGGTAACTAAGGGTTTAGAAAGAGTGGGACAAGTTCCATGCAGCTTGATGGAAGCAATTCAACAACAAGGTTCTGTGCAATGCATTCAGTTAGCCAAAATAGCAAATCCTATTTTATAATATACCATATGAATTACACTACAGTCATCCGCAAAGTGTAATTTACATATGTACAACATTATCATCCTAGTATATTGTACCTTTTAGGCATATGTATAGATCTGTCTTTTATCTTTGTATTTTTTATCTGATGTTTAAGTTTCCATTACAGTTGTACTTAATGTCTTATTATTCATCCTGTCCTAGAAGCACTACAGGTTAATCACATACAATAATCCCCTTCTATAATAATTTCAATTATTTAGATTTCAAATGAACCTAAGCAGCAACAACCAGTGCACAGTAACTACATAAACCGCATAGTAACATGTAGCTGGCTGGAAGTTAGTCCATTACGCCAGTGTCATATTTTATTTCATTTAAGAGGGTTCTTCTCCCTCCTCTTTCTTCATAATAGTTAAGTATTTTTAACAGATTTTTGATAACATTGATTTAAATTAGGATTCTGTTTTTGCTGTTGCATTTTGCCTGTCCCAGGTTGTTTGAAAAACTTGAAAAACTAAACAGATCATAAAACAATGTGGTATTTATGACAAATCTAATACCTACAATTGTAAAACCCCCCTAGAGCCTACAATGAAAAATAGGTGCTATGCTACTTCTTCTGTTTATACTTATAACAAGTGCAGTTTACTTTGCCTCAGTTTTCACACATCTGCACGTTCACATACTTTGTACACATCATAGGTTTCACAAAGCAGGATTTCTTTAAGCTTAGTTCTGTTCAACTCTGGGTTTCCTGTTTTACAACAGCTGATCATTTTTTTTCTGGGCTACCTCACCATAGCAACTTGTACTGCACGCCTAACCTGCTCCAGGGAATGTTACGTTCAGGATCATAAACAGGTCTTGGACCAATCAGGGCGTGCTTGTAACCAGTCCTGTGCCGCTGAAGGTAAAACTAGTTTACCAACAGTTCTAAAAAAAAAAGCCCTTCATTTATTGATTTACTTTATGCAAACCACACCTCATGCAAGACCCTGGTATTTACTCATGTAAACATAAACCTGTTTCAAGATATCCTACATTAATACCATTTTTATGATACCTAACAAATAAGACATATCAGATAAAGTGTCTCTATGGTAGAGTGTACCCTTTAGGATGTCCTCACACCACAGCAACAGGTTTCACATATCAGAAAAAAAATGACTTCACATCTTAGGAAAAGCACGAGTAAAATCAAAGTCCTTACAGGAAAGTCTGTTCACTTGGTGGCCATCTTTGCAACACCCCTGCGCAGTTATTTCCACTCAAACAAGACCAGATTACCGTCTCTCTCAATAAGGAGAGACCTGAACCCCAAACTAAAAGCCACATTGTTTCAAAAACATTGAAATGAGTGATAAAACCTTACAAAAACAGCATCAATAGTTTGTAGGGTTCGGCTCAAAAAACACACAAAAATGTGATTTTCAGCTTGATCTGGCTCTCCTGATCTCCACAATGAGAGCATATGCTATGTTGAATGTTACGAGCTTTCCTATTCATTTTCCTACCGGTGACTGGTCTCTTCCGTTACAACATCTCTGATAAAATCATGTCTCAGCTGTGGTACATTAAGAGAAATGGGCCTTTTCAGACAGTCTAAGGTGAAATGGCTTTGGAGAAGAGCATCAGGGTAAGCAACCACAAACTCTTAGACCAGAGGTGCACAACTCCAGTCCTGGAGGGCCAGTGCAGAGCACAGTTTAGAGGTTTATCTACTATTTGAGTAGGTCAATCACCAAACTGTGCTGGACACTGGCCCTCTAGAACCAGAGTTGTGCACCCCTGTCTTAGACGGTAAAATTTGTGTGTCTTATTTCCTTAGCATATATTTTTTTTTCCTGCTTGACGAAAATAAACTGCCTGACAATGTTTTACGTAAACAGCTGTTTGTCATTAACATCATTTTTTTTTCTTATCAGAGGAATCAGCCATTAAAAAGCCTGAGGACCCAACAGAACACAGTATAATCTGGAGAAACACTATGGTCGCCAGGAGTTAGAATTGACGGCACTTATTATTATTAACATTAGGTTCTGTGAAGCTGAAGCTTCCTCATTAAGCCCTAATGGAGCTGGACTAGTAATGCCTCGGGAGGCGCTGTAATTTGAGTGATTGTGGACGAGATCCGCGATTCTAATCCAGTATGAATCTGCCATATTTGTAATTTTTACAAGTCTGCTAAGCTAAATATTTCGGAGCAAAGTACCTTCTATAGCCCTGTTTGAACTGATTAGTTTTAACAGAGGATGACTGGGTAATGTAATTTGTGTGTGATTTGACAGGCCAATATGTACAGGATAAAGGATGTGTGTAATTTCCCCAAATAGTCAAGGCTGCAGCATCATCATGGGGATGTTTACATCAGCATTATGTGACAGGCACCACATTTCTGAACATTAACAACAATAATTCAGTTGTTAATGTAAACAAGGTCATTCAGAGTGTTTTGTGTGAAGTGCTTAATTCTACAGAAAAAATTCTGAGTTGGATTTCTTTCAGTGGTGTTGATGGGAACCACAATGTCTGCAACCTCAATGTAGCCATAGTATTCACTATCTATTCTTTACCTCTACAGGCTAGTAAAGTGGGTTCACTCAACTTAGCAAATGCCAACCAACAGGACCAAGACTGAAAATGCTTCTTCTCCTTGTAATTCTGCCATCACCAAAAATGTTGTGGATTTCAGTGATCTTGTCATAAAATTAATTTTAGCTGTTAGCCTTGTCTTCAGATCACAAAAGAAGAAAAAAAAGGCACCGTTTTCTATTACCCGGTTTTGTTATTACAAAATAGCTCAAATAGGGCTTAAGTTAAACATGCTTCATGAGACCAGCCCCAGACCCAGACCCAGCAACTTGAGCCTACCTTCTAGACACTTTCTTTGACTTTGTCTCTTCTGTGTTCTCCTCCTTCTCCTCATTCTCATTCTCCTCTGCAAGGAAAAACATCATCCATTCAAAACAACTGTTTTTAAAACCAAGCACACAATAAACTACAGTCACTCTGAAACTTGGAAACTTGACTTGGAGCCAACTTACAACCAAAGTAGGGTCTATTAGGAAACAGAGAAAATGTGAAAGGTATGTAGCAGACTGATTCAGACTTACCTTTTTCAACTGAAAGCTTCTTTTTTCTATAATGAACAGAAGGTACAGTTAAATACAGTGGTAAAGAGAAAAAATGAATATATACATGGATACTAAGTGTAATAAAAGTCACTTACTTCTGTGGCACTGTGTCAAATTCTTCTAAAAGAGCCTCTGAAAGAAGACTTTTTTTCTTGGGAAAAAAAAAACAAACAAAAAAAATTTTTTTTTACCATGATTTCATATGGTATAGGAGTCTGATGAGCTACTTAACTAATTAACGTATTGCTAATTAACACACACACACACACACACATACATACATACATACATATATATATATACACATATACATATATATATATACACACACACACACATACATATATACATTATATATATATATATATAGGTAGGTAAAAATGGTTATTAAAGAATTCCTCCCATGTGATTGCATGCTATGAAACATTCTGTACCTTTTGCTCTTGGAAAAACAGCTGTCTTTTTCTTCTCTTCTCCTTCAACAGCTCCTTTTCCCTGATGACAAACAGCATAATTACTCAGCAGCTGTAGAAAGTTATTTACACACTGCATGTACCTGCTGTGCTTTTGTGTGGATTAATCAGAACTCTGTTATTTTCTCAGCATCCAAGATATGCCACACAGATACGACAAACCAAACCAACACCACTGCCATCATTGAACTGAACCGAACCAAAGCTCTGCTATCTTAAAGGGGAATTTCACTGATTTTCTAGATTTCTGTATAATTCAGTTATTCACTATTTATTCTAAAATGACCAGTGAACCTCCATGTGTCTTCTGAGTTTCATTTTAAAATGTTAAAAATGGTAAAATAGTGGTAAACTCGTGAAAAAATGTTTTGGCGTTAAATGCTCAACATGTACCACTCCAGCATGAATGAATTTTTAAAAATACGTTTTAGGTTAAAAACTTTCTCTCAAAACCATCCTTAAGCAATGTGTCAGGCATCAGGCAGCGTATCTGCAACGGTGTAATTTAACAACTCGGTGATGTAGCTATTAGAAACAATCATTTCTATCTTCACAATTGAATTTTGCAAAAACATTGACAAACCAGTGGAACTTCCCTTTATATGCTGTAGCGAGTAACACATCTGCCATCCACGCTGGAGGCTGGGGTTCAATCCCCCCCAGGGCCAGCACCCTGCACTATACCACACTAACAGTCTTTGGGCGAGTCTCCTAACACTCCCTTCGCCCACCTGTGTAAAATGATCAAACTATAAGTGGTTCTGGATAAAAGCATCCGCCGAATGCCATGCCAATGTAAATGTAAGAGGATCTGAACTGTAATAACATTGTTATTGTGGATATAACATGGATTAGGTTGAATATAATGCCGCCCAGTGTTAACATCAGCCGTTCAAAGTGCGGTTTATTCCCACACACCTACAAAATGAAACCATAAGAACCCTTTTTTGTGCTATATAGAACCATACACAACGCATTCTCCATGAATCTGAAGAACCTTTTCACCATGCAAAGAACCATTTAAGCATGAAATGGTTCTAAATAGAACTACTGCTTTTACTAAAGAACCCTTGAAGAGCCATCTTTAAATGTGTAGAGACTAAGAGGACAGAAAAACCTCTGATGATGACATGGCATGTACATAACAGAGCAGCGGTCACTAATCATCCCCTCTGAGGTCCACATTTGTACAGAGCTCAGTTCCCATTTTAAACTCACAGCTTTCCCAGATAATTCGTTTTTTTTAAGAAGGCTGGTAACTGGTGATCACTACAAGGTTACCTATTCAGAAAAACTCAGAGTCCAGTTCTGGTAGTCCACAGCACTATACAATTTAATGCTGCTTTAAATATAAGGAGCTCTCAATATTATACTAACAATATTTGCCACTCTGTTAGTAACTACTTAAGCTGAGGTTGGATAAAACTCATTTTCAATGTTAAAAGATATACTAAGTCCAGTTCTGTCCACTCACATCATCACTTGCCATACAATACTGACACCACTGCCAATGTGTTTCACTAAGACGTACTAGATTTAGCATACTGAGCCTAACAGTGAGGCATGACTTACTCCTACTGAAACTGTAATAACACACTATATCCAGAGTTTGGCCCCTGTGCTCAGTTTAACGGTTCGCGGTCTTAAGAGGTCTTTTAACTAAACCGTAATTATTAAATAAACCAGGGACGCTAGTAAAATTGTCGTCTTGTATCATTAGACAGTTGCTTACACGGCCCTGTCTAGACTTTCACTATTCAACGAGGCTTAAGTTGGATTCTTCTGAGTTTTCCGTTCCACCTTAAATGGTGCAGCAGATACACTGCGGCGCCTGTATATGTAAGTCTACAAGCGCTGTGCCATTTAAGGTGGAACGGATAATTCCAATCAGACGTTGGTGAACATTAGCCTCGTCACTAGTTTATGATGAAAACGAGTAAATCACTCTTCAGTGTGGATGCGCAGTCAAGAGTAAGTAAGGCTAGCCAAATCAGGACTCTGAGTCAGACTCGAACCATTTTAAGTGAGGTTAAGAATAATCATTAGGCTCTTGTTCTGGTCCAGCACGCTAAACGTGTTAGCAACTGAGCTACCGCCCCATATTTACTCACCTTCTCCTGGAGCGCAGCGCCTCCTCCGCGCTCTTTAGCGCTGCTGATTTAGACTCCTCAAAGGCCACTTCCTCAGGGCCTTCATCTTCACTGGACTCGGACATTTCTCCTCCGACTTCAACTTGTTTCTCTGATTCGGGCTGAGGTTCTCCACGCTGAAGTTTCGCCATATTGGACGCTGCACTAACAGAAGTTGAAGTTGCAGAGGAAACATCGCCGCCTGGCGCTCAGGAGGGTTCATGAGTCTATGAGAGGTTGGCCATAGGGGATTTGTTGAAAACGGTTTAAAAATCACTTAAAGCTGGACTTTGGCGAAACTGCAGCTAAAATAAGACAGCAGAATATTTGTCTGAGCCAACAAAAATAGGCTAAACTGGTTTTTGATGGTCTGGTGCTGGTTTGCACCCAACGTGATCTTGGTGGTTGGCCATCATACCAGCATCCAGAACCAGCTACCGTGCTGAAAAAATTAAACCATTAATGGGTCCACATCACAGTATCAAGGATTCTAATGGTTTAACAGGGGTTGTATGGTTTCCTAATGATATCTAAAAGTGTCCTAATTGTCTGTAGTGGTAACCATTAAGCCAATTCCCATTAGAAAGCAAAACCAACAGGTTTTAACACTAATAGTTCTGATGGTCTTTTTTCAGCAGGGTGTTCTGTGCTGTTTTTTTTTCTAGCGGGGTGGTCAGTTTTTTTTTAACACATTATGCTTTGGACACTTGAGCTCTCTACTAAAAGAACAACATTGACCGGCATAACCAGCAAAACCAGCATGTTGGAAGAAAAACTAATTTCTCAATGTTTGACGTTTTTCAGTTTTTTACATAATTTAAAAATGACCCTTCACATTGTATGTACATTTCATGATGAATGGACCAAAAGAAATGACCTAAAATGACTTGGAAAAAAGTCTGGATATGTCTATATGTGTGTGTCTGTATAGATACACTTAAAAAAGATGGTTCTTCAAGGGTTCTTTGGTAAAGAAAATGGGTCATGAACACTTAAAGAACCCTTTGCATTATTAGGATTCTTTGCTTTGTGAAAGGTTTCTTAAGACTGATGTGTTGTATATGGTTCTATATAGAACCTTTCTGAAAAGGGTTCTGCTGTTACGATGTGAAGCTTGTGGCTGACAATTAAAGAGTCCTTTTTGGTGCTATTTAGAACCATCTTATATACTAAGAACCCTTGAAGAACCATCTTTTTTAAGAGTGTATATAAGTACAAAAAACATTATTCTTATTTATTTATTTACATACTGATAACGTTATATGAAGAAAAATGTTTTTGTATTTATTTTGTATTGGGTTCAAGGTTGTGGTGAATCTGATTGGCTGGTCTCCACGCTGTCCATATTCTGGACCAATCAGAGTGTGTATAGACTCTGCTGTAAACTCTGCTGCTCTGAGCGCTCGTGGGCTCGTATTCTCACATTAAATCCGGCGCTATTAGTCAGGTCTGCTATTGCTGCTCTTTTCTTGGCCTCGCTGACTTGTTGCTCGGTTTTCTGTCGCACTGTGGACATGTCCAGGTTTACAGTGTTTACTCTGGCCCTGTGTCTGTCCGGCGTGGCTGTTTGCTTTGTCCGGCCGTCTTTCTCCGCCGCAGCCCCGCAGCAGCCCTGCGCAGCTCCGCTACAGTGGGAGGGACGAACCGTGCAGTACGACCACAGCAGCGGGAGGAACACACGGGCGGTGGTCTCGTATGATGGACAGAACCAGCGTGTGAGGGTGCTGGAGGAGAAGAGGAAACACACACCGTGTAAGAGGTGAAGAGCGTGTTTTGACGGTAACGGTATTAGCGAGCAGGACTAGCATATGAGAAGTGAATGAAATAAGCAGTATGTTGTGTTTCCCATCCTTTGATTTCCATTCGTGAAATTCATAGGATTTCCAGACACGTTGCTGCAGTTTCGTCATCCTTGTAAGAAGGTGCAAAGGCTACATGAGGAACGTGCAGCTTAACATTAGCCCACAAACACTGGCTACCGAGAGCAAACAAACAACACGTGATGCTGCTAATATTGAGTCCATCATGGACGGTTTACTGTTTTCATGGCAAAGACGATCAACTGCACAGATATTAACTGCAGCATTTCTCTGTTAATCCTTCTGTTTAATGTGATGGTTTGAAATGGCTTCATGAGACCCAGCATGCACAAAAGGGTATAGAGTTCAGATTTTCACTAATTCATTAGTAAACTGTACATGGTGAGCAAATACAGTGTAGGGAAAAGTGCACACTCATGCCACTAAATCTCATTAAATTGCAATGAATTGAAACCTTCAAGGTTATATTGTCCCATCAGATTTTCTCACTTGAAACAGTAGGTTATTAATCATTACCATCAGTCTACAAAGTCAATAATCCTTGCTCCTCTCTGACCCATTAGTGCTGCTCCAGACAGCAGTGTCCAGTATCTTGGCATTGCAGTCTGGTCCTTTTCACTTGGACGAGCTTGGATCAGAAATATGATTTAGTAAAAATCATTGTATGATCTGTGCAGGTGTGCAAGCAGACAGAATAGTGCAGCGTAACTGGATGGGAGCCTTCAAGGAGACTAGATTTAAAACATTGCTTTGGTGTAAAGTTCAGCAAAGGGGTCCATAGAGACTGCATTTGCCCAGAAATCAGTGGAGTGACTGTCCAAAATAATGAATTTCAGACTCATACATGTCGGTCTGCTTCATGCCCATCCTCAGCTGATGTCTTTTCCTAAGCATCTGATGGCTTAAGACAGGGGAGTCCTAGCTGGGGGAATGGATGTACGGTCTGTCCAAGACCTCTTGATGGATGAGGACCCTCAGGGCCAGGGCCAGGAATTTTTTGTTTTGGGGAACAAGTTTAACCTGCATTTGCACAGGCCCCAAAAATTTTGTGGAATGGCCCTGGCTCGACTCAAGGTCTGACTCCATCTCAGTGATTCTACAATTCCCTTGCTGATTTGTCTACTGAAGTCTCCTAAAAAAGGGTGGGAAAGTGCATTAAAATGTCCTCTACAATGGACATTAACAAACAAAAGACTTATTCAGCAGGTTAAAAATTGCACATTTCTGAAAACCTATAAAGCTGCAGTTATACATACATACATACATACATACATACATCATCTAAACCGCTTATCCTTCTGGGCCGCGGTGGGGTGCTGGAGCCTATCCCAGCTGTCGTTGGGCGGAAGGCAGGATACACCTGGACAGGTCGCCAGTCCATCACAGCTTAGACAGACAGACATACACATTGCAGTTATACATATTAAGGCTTATTATTCTACAGGGACACCAATGCAAGCAGGTTAATCTATTCTTAGGTTAGAGAAGTGTGTAACAACACTTTGGGCCCACCAACAGGCCCATGGCCTTTTAAGGGGTTAAGAGGCTAAGAATGTGATACCTCTGAAAAGTGAAAGGTGTTCTTTCTACAGTACAATAGGTTTTAGCCAGTGGTCTTTGAAATACAGGCCAGAAATGCATCTCCCCTCAAGAGGACAAATGAATTTAAGTCTTGAGAATAGAGTATAAACTACTTACGTTAACTCAGTACTGTGTACATTTCAGTTGTACATTTGTTCTTGCAGAGTTTACCTAAGCCTTCCTCGGCACTGTGTAACTAACATTGTCTCACTGCTCAGGTACTTTGAATACATCTACCTGTTCAAGAGTGGGGTGCTCTTCCAGATTGAGCAAGTTACTAAAAGCTGTGCTAAGCTTAATTTAACTGAAGAATGGGACCCATATGACATCCCGATGAACTCCACTTATGAGGATCAGTACTTCATTGGTGGGCCAGGAGATATGATTGAGGTTCAAGAGTGGTCTGACAGAAAGCCAGCTCGTAAACGTAAGTATAGACTGATGTAAGATATTCAGCATTATTGAGACAAGTGAATGACATTTCTGGGGGCCGCGTCATCAACTAGTGCACAAAGTCCCTTTCACTTATTAATCTCATCTCATTAATGCAAGAAAGATGATTAGAAAAGAATGTTATACAGCTAGGTGTGGTCGATATGGTAAAAATATAGTTTGTTGAAGACATTTTCTTGATACATGATAAATATCTCAATGTTTTTTTCTGAGGTTTGATGAACTGATACATAAATTGTCATATATTGCATCATGTTTTGCAATATATCATCATATATTGCCCACCCCTTTAAAATGTACACAATGTGTAAAAACCCCATCAACACTGCAGTACCTGATATCTACTGCGTGAGTCTACTGTTCTGACAATGGTCCATCACCCAAAAATATCTGGTTATAGGTGGTCCTGTGGTCAGAAACTGATCAATGATGAATGTAGCTGACAAATTGTGCAGCAACAGATGTACTGCAGTCTATAATAACATACTTAATAAACCTAAAGAGCACCTATAAGGTAGTGTAGGCCTACGTGATAAAATAGCAAGTGAGTGCAGGTACAAGGTAGGTGTATATGGAGCATTCTACTGAAACTACCGTTCAACAGTAAAAAAAAAACCTGTTAATTCAGACCTTAGATAGTTACAATGATTATGTTATGATCTATTTGCACCTAAGTCACTAATTGAGAGAGTAATAAGCTAACTATATACAAAATCATCATTTATAAGGTACTTTCGGTTGGGAGGTGCCTGTCCCAAACCATAACCTGTAATTTTCCACTTGTTAAAATAATACTTACATTTTTTAATGTTGTTTTTTAAAAGATCTTTTTGATTTCTTTTAAATTGGAGTTGAAATATTTAGATTCATCAGGAGTTTTAGTCCTTAGGCAGAGCCTTATTTTAACCACACCCCTGCATTTTAGAGCAGGAAGTGAGACTGCATCCCTGGCCCTCATGGCCACATGGTGAGCATTGCTTTGAAGTAAATGTGTCCCAGAGTCTGAAAATCAGTGTATAACATTAAAAATTCTCACCACTGAAACAGTATTTTCTGGAATTAAGTAAACTGGTGTTTTAATGAAAACCTTTGATGATTGTGTGTGTACAATTTTTCAAATTTTTCGAGTTTTTGAGTTAATTGGCTAAAATTGTCACTCCTGAAACAGTCACCACTGAAATATTTGGTAAACTTTGGGTAGTGTGATATGATTGTTTTGGTAGTGACAAAATGGAATTTTCAGTCATTTGTATTACTAGGTTATATTTAGTATAATGATTTATAATTATAATAAACTTATTGTTTAAGGTATAGGGTCATTCAAAGC